GGGGGGGGGGGAGTGGAGAAAAAAGATTTGAAGTAGGTAGAAGGAGAAGGTTTGGAAGAATCTGACGGCCATGGCTGGTAGAGAGAAAGCGGATATGGGCCGATGGCAGGGCAACCCGAGTCGTAAGACTTGGAAGTGTGGGGCTGCAGGAGACATCAATCAAGTGGTCCTACAGCTTGAAAAAATGTGGCAGCACAGGAGTGACTTCGGTCAAATGAACAGTGGACCGAGCACGGAGGCAGAACATTGTAAGCGGATTGGCCACCATACCAATCCCGACACAGCGGTGATCGTCTAAACGGAAAGAAACCTTCGCCGGCGGCTCCCCTTTGAATCCTGGCACAGTCAGCAGATATTGGGAGACAACAACCACACCACTGGGGACACTACCCTCCCTCTACTTCCAGGGTATGCAAGAGTCGTGGCAAACATCTCGGGCCTTCTGACCCCTGAAGAGAAAAGCCGATCAGGCTTAAAAACATCAGGTTTCTTAATATAAATATTGGCGGGAGTTTTCTGGTGTTTATTGTTTTTCTGTTATCCCAACCAAGTATAGGCTTCTGCCGAATGCTCATTTTTGAAATAATACAGATATCTGTGCTGCACGCCCTAAACCCGAAGAGTAGAGCTCGTTGCTGCGTTTTGTAGCCTGTCTGCATTCCTTGGGGCGTACAAAGAACGCAAAAGCTCAGGTATGAGTAACTTGAGCCTGGGAAAAGCCCGTGTCGTCAAGCTTTTCGCAGAACAGACTGGGCGAACACAATGGCAGGTGAGGAACCGCCGAAATTGCTTCCGCGTGTCAAACCTGACTGTGAATGGAAAGAAGTTTGAGTAAGAAAAAAATTCAAAAGAAAAAACGGCGCTGCTATGCTATGTCGACATGGAGTCCTGAACTGCAGCTTAGAAGTGTGGCAGCTTGGCCTAGTTGGTATGGCATGACGATAGCGCGAGAACAAAACGACGACACAGAGACAGAGTCCTTCGTGTCCTTCTTGACTCTGTGTCGTCGTTTTTTCTCGCGCTATAACTATCGTCCTGAACTGCAGGCGTGTTGGCAAAATGTTTACAAGCTCTTCAATTTATCAGGGGGTCACACAAATCTTCGACAGCATTACAGGTTGAAGGAATTTGTTTTTTCCAATGACTAAGCGTCCGCACGGCAGGAGCGGTGTGTAAATTCCTGCCCCCTTCCTCCTTGGAATTCGCTCGTAAAGCTTTAAACGTATCACTTGGCATGAAATGATATAAAAGCTGACAGCATGTGTTGTCACTACATTTAAAAAAACTTGAAATTCGTCGAGATGTAAACTTTTTTGTGCAAAACAATACATCGAAAGGGCATTCACAAGCGCCCGCCCCGTCTCTCTCGTTCTTGTGAATATTTTGTTTTGCAGTCCGTAATTTTCCAATCGTCACATTTATTGATAATAAAAAAAAATGGAAGCGGCGTCTGAGGACAAGCAGTTCAATGCAGGAGAGGGCGTAGGGGTACTCGATGCTCGCGAATCGTGCTGCTCTGTCGCCTTGGAAGCCGCATGATTTATGAAGATGGAATACAGTGCTCATTCTCCTTTGGTTTGGGGACATAATTGTAGACCAAACTCAATGTAAATCACGATGTTGCGTAATGAAATTCCCGGGAGTTGCACATGAGCCAAAACATTCTGCACAACCCACTTTTCATGCCCTCTTAAAGACATGTTCATTTATTCCTAACAGTTGTGAATTACACTAGGTACACAATAATGAAGCTCGGATAATTATTCAGTTTTTCCTCTCGTTATTATCACCATTCGATATGCGTTCTTCTCTGAGAAAAGATCACACGAGTTTCGTAACATGCATGAGCGTAAATTTCTCATTATACTTTGTCAGAGTCTGCGAACGGTGTACTCTATAAACGCATTGCCTTTTAGCAATAAAGTTGAAGCCAGTTTGACGCATAAAATCAGTATTACATCACCAAAAATTGTGAGTTTTTTTTTAGAAGATACTCCTAACGTCTTGTTGGAAATTCTAACTTCAAATTGTGAAATCACGCTGGCGCGAACGGCAATGGCTCCATGACCAAATACACTGCAAAAAATTTACAAATAGCTGTGCACCTTGGAAATAGGCAGTATGCATTAGCTTTTTAGTCATGTTAGAATTTTATAATGTCAAAATCTCATCTCAGTGTGGTGCATTTTATGTCGCCATTTCATTCCGTGCCTTTAAGTTGAGGTTATCATTTTTATTCGAAGATATGAGCAAGTGGCTTTTATCAAGGACCTTCCCTGGAACGAGTTCCAAGGGTGTGGGGAATGAGACAGATTTACAATTTGGAAAAATTAATTCTGTGGCTTTACAAGCCGGCACATACACAATTACAAGGCATGCCATAAAATGAGACTATAAATATTTGTAACCATAGATCAGGAAAATAAAAAGACGCTCTCAATAAATAAGTTTTTTTTTCGTATAGGACTCACAAGGACCCAGACTAACCAAAATTTTGCTGAATCGAACAAGGAACTAGCTTGAACTCAGACTCACCATGGTAAAACTAAGCCGGGCTCACTCGAATTGAAGTTTACCTAAGTATAACTCAGCCGGACTCACTCAGACTGCCTCACGCCTCAATCAGATGCCTTTCAATTCCTCTGATAGACTCATCAGTGAGTTTGCCGACTTATAATGGGAACACATCTCTCATTCACGTCACGCGTTGATGAAGACCTTTTGTGTGTGTTCACGATCGTGAAATATGGGAAAACAAGAAAGGTTAAAAGGGTGGTTGCTATACCCACATGATGAGAATAGGGATTATATTTACCGATCTACGCAAGAAGAAATCAACGAAAAACATGAATGCAGCATAGGAACCATAAAGGACAAGTGCTGCACTTAAAACTAAATGTTAACAAAGAAAGCGCCTACAAATATTAACCAGAAGCACATGCTTAAAAAGGCTATCTAAACCACAGTTGCACAGTTAACCGTACATTTCTTTCCAACAAATGTCTCAAGGTGGTGGTATGAAGCAGCCGATATCCATAGAACACCAAAATGTCAACACCAAGTTTATCTGTGAGGAAAGCTGCGAGATCAATCACACATGACACTTCGCTCTGTTTTTATTTCGAAAGCTTCACGAGTTTCACGCTCAATCTTATTTTTTTCCCTTTGCCAATGGCATTCAATGATTTGAAAGAAATTCCTTTGTCATGTGGCCGTGTCTATAGAGATCACACAGGTCGAGGCCTAGTGTGAACACCCTTCAGACACAAAACTGACCTCTTCGCTAGTCTCTGCGTCCACAATATGTGAGTGCCATCGGCAAAGGAAGAAATAGATTGAACGTGAAGATTTTGAAACCTTAAAAAATAAAAAAGGGCAAAGTGCAACGCATGTATAAGTGATCCTTCAGTTGTACTTACAGCTAGATAAGGGACTCGCGTTGCTAGATAGCGAGTGCACGTGGCGTTGATCATGGAAGTGTGCTGTTTGTATCATTTTGATTTGATTGATTGATATGTGGGGTTTGACGTCCCAAAACCACCATATTATTATGAGAGACGCCGTATATTTGTACCATTTTGACACGCTTCTTGCCTTTGTAGTGTTAGGTGTGCAGCTGTGGAACGCCCCAGCCTATTTTTCATGAATGCACTTCTGGTACATGGGTTTGTGGACTTTCCGCAATAAACATTTCGCTCGATGTCTTGTCTGGTTGAGCTCCTTAGTTTGCTCTTCCGAAAATATTATAAACCAACTCGCCGAGCAAGCTACGTATGTGGTGTCTTTTACGAAACGAGGTTGTGACAAATTGGCATGTGTAGTTAGTTGAACTACGTCCGAGATAAAAACTGCGAAGGAAATGCAGATTCCTTGATTTGATAGCGTGGCGTGGAGCGTCGCATGGTGTGCAGTACGAAGCACGTTGAAAATACAAGCTCACGCTTCAGTGTTTTGTGCGCATTCATCTTCTGTGGGTTACTTCACAGTTTACACAAACTTAATTTATGGTGATCACCATTTCGTTTAATATTGTTGATCTCGCTCAACCTGCCAATACAGTGGGGATCGTTTCTGTTTGATAAAGCATTTCGCATAACAATTGTCATTTTACCTTTCTTTGTTCATTAAAGGCAATGCATGTGATCCAGTTTCTTAACTGATTTTTTTGTCCTTGCCCGTCCGCAGTTCTAGCCCTTACACTTCGCGTTTGAACTGCCTTTGTTCTTTGACTCGCTTGCACAGTGATAAAAATGAATATTCCAGTACCAACTTTCCACACCCTTTATCATTGTTCAAAGCCCACCTCACATATTACATATTCTAGTCAGCTAGAATATGTCGACAGTCATCGCCAAACACCACCGTTCGCGCTGTCACTGAACGGGATTCGCTGAAATATAGTGAACTCAAAAGTATCTTAAAATTCACGTTTAAAATAATCCAACATTATTAGGAGCACGCGACAAGTTTTATATATATATATATATATATATATATATATATATAGTCCACTTATTTAATTTAAAATTACAGGTTAACCAATTCTGATGCATTTGCGAAGTGGACAGAATTAAGGCCAGACTGGTGTGAGAAAATGCAAAATAAACGTAGGCAATCTGAAAAAAAAAAAAAAAAACTTATTTAAATGACACGCCAACAAAAGACGTCAGCGGTGGCGGCGCGCCAATCGGTTGGCGTCGGCGCCGACGGCGTAGCAAAGAATTGTTGGCGGCAGCGCGCCGACCTCACGGCGCACACCCTCTAGCTGCGCCGCGCAGGAGATGCTGCCAAAAAAATAGAGGCGCTGCCTTCTTCCATAGTAGCAATCATGCAAGTAATCATAAAAAAAAACTTGCATGCAAGCAAGACCACCGTAAATTGCTACTGACAAGAGCGTCTTTTTTGGTAATCCAGACAGTCATTGTTTTGAAAGTTAAACAAAATAAGTTTTTTGGCAAGAGGGTTGAATAGGTGGCGCCTAAGAAGCTGAAGGAAGTAGCAGACGCGCCGAGTATGGGCCAGGCAACCTAGTTCTAGAAACGTTGGGGCCAGGCTAGCCAGCCAGTTGCCTGCAGCATTTAACAGCCTCTCTCAGTCGGGCGAAGATGCATGTTGTCCTTTCCTGAGTATTTGCTTTTTGTATCACATCAGGTCCCACGGCTCCGCTTGCGATGTCAGACAAAACTGAGTTGCGCTCCCCAAACTTCCTGCTCAAGTCTTTCTTTGCTGGTGGTAAGTAATCATTTATTTCTGTAAAGCGTGCGACAAGCTTACTACATCCTGCATGCTTTACGACGGCCTCGAACGTCAAGTTCACGGCCTTACCCGAGAAATAACATTGACCCCGTTCGGCGGGCGCCGAAATTCCTCGGGCGCTCCGTGAGCCAGGCAGTTAGAATGCATGCTAGAACCGCGTGCCTGTTTTGTGGAGAATGCAGGCGACCCGGGAGCTCGTTTCCTTTTGACCGCGCGTTCGTTGAACTGCCGGCTAAGTTGTGTCAGCGTGCCAGTAGTGGGATACGGCTCCTCCTCCAATTCATGTGCAGCGCACGAGCAAAAACGTTGTGATTATTGTTGTTACGAGATGCGAACAGACAAAAAAGTAAAGAAATGTGTATATATCCGCACAACTCTGATTTCGAAAATTCGGCTGGTCGCCGCACGCGGCCGTCTTTCAGGATGACACACATAAACTATACGTGTCATTGACCTTGAGACACATCCGATAATTTCGGCATATGTAAGCGCGCTATCTAGTGGACCCCTTCACTTTTTTTTTCCATGTTGCGCTGCTTTATTTTCCGCGATAGAATTGAAGATTTCGCGCTCGTGCGTGCCCCACTGCATGAGGAAGCTGCAAATAAATCGAGGCATTAGTTCGGGCTGTCAGACTGCCCGCGTAAATGATGTTTATATGCAACTGTGCAAAGAAAAATGGTGCTTCCAAAGTAAACATGCATCCAGTCATGCACGACGATTGTTGCGAATGCCTGATGAAAATAGCATTCCTCATAGATGTGACAAACTGCATGCAAGGCATGTACCACTATACTGCCTTCGAGGACTTGCGTCATACCTCGTGATGCATGGCATTAAAAGCACTTCAGCCGATCAGTATGACAAGATGTGCTTACGAATGTGCTTATTGCTGAGGGCTTTGTTGTCACGTATGACACTTACGCAGCCATGTTCCTGCAAGAACATTGTGCACACTGCTTATGAAAAGACTACAGGGCTGTTGACATCAGCAGCCGAAATTTTTTTAAATGGGAGGGGGCGGCACTTCCTTGAAATGGTGATTTTCACTCGCTATGCCTGGCGAAAAATAATTCCAGGGGGGGGGGGGGGGGCATGGGCCTGGTGTGCCACTCCCTGGCTATGCCCGTCTGCAGCTACCCAAAAAGATGTAGTATTCACATTTATGAAGATCGAATCAAACATAACCGACTAATGCAGAGCTTGTCACCACTTTTCAATATTTTCTTCATGTCTGGTTATTTATATAACTTTCATTATCTATCAGAATGAGAGTTTATATCTCTTTCATTGAGGCAGGCAATTAAGAAGCAGCTGTTTTGTGTTTCAAACATTTATACAGAGAAATAATGAGACTTTAGTTTGTCTAGTATGTGTCTAGCTTTCCAGGAATCTTCATTCTGATACTATGTAAAGAGGCAATAATAATAAAAAAAAGGCAACAGGACTGAATGGCACATGTGCATTTATTCTAGCCTTTCTTTTTATGTTTAGCATTATTATTCTTTGAATCAGTGTTTATGGGCAGGAAGTGTTGCAGGAATAGTTGAAGATGTCAATCATTGCTTGGGTTTTACATGCCTAAAACCCAAGCAATGATTGACATCTTCAACTATTTCTGCAACACTTCCTGGCCATTTTTCTCATGCCTATGCAATATCAATTTAATAAGATGCTTAAATTTGAAGCAGGCAATGAAGTACTTAGAATTAATAGCAAGAAAACTTTTTGACCACTAGGCGTAAAACAGCAGCTACTAAAGCACTATGGGAAATATACTATTGTCTTGGTAAATTTCTGGTTGGCTTTGCAACATTCATTGTGACCACTTAGTTATGCTGTCACATAGTAGGGACTATATCTTAGTCTTTCATGGTTTCTCCTATTGTTCATAATGAATAATGAATCGTCATTCTGTTTAATAGGACTCATTTGTATTATTGAAATCTTATAATTGTGATGTTGATCTGAAGACTGGCATCCCTTTTGATCTGAAGACTGGCATCTTTACTTTTTTTTCTCCCTGGTATGTAGTTGATTTTTGAGAAGGATCAAGGTGACACTTAGGTGTGCAAAGATGTGGTATTTGCCGTTATGTAAAATGCAGAGGTGTATGGATGTGATGTTCTAAAGTTGGCCATTTTTTCCATTCATTGATTATTGCTTATAACTGTATTTCATTTATTTTTTGCAATGGATAGAAAATAGATGGTTTCAGAAAGAAAGGGTGCCAAGAGTCATGTGCTGTATACGCAAGGTGTATGTATAAGTACGGGTTGAGGAAAACTTGGGCAGCTTTGTGCATTAATCTAAACCTATCCTGCTTTTGTTTGCTCCGTTTCTGCACTTCCTGGACATTTATTTTGAAAGGCTATGCTAGTGCATTGCAGTCATGGCATGCAAATAAAGGTTATTTGTATGCTGTGCATATAAGTAATTCAAGTTAGGAGTGAATGGTGTGTGTCCATAAGGGCCATATTTAAATGCATAGCATAATTTGGTAAGTTGGTCCAGAAAAATTTCTCTGTCGGTTTCTTTATGACAAGAAACAAAATGTGGACTTATCTCGGAGATAGCGCAACTCTGGGTCAGCCAGTTTCTCACTTTAACAGAGCACAGGCCAGTTGTAGAGTGAAATACTATGCCATTCCATGTGTACGGCTCACTTTCCTAATGAATTCATACTTTAAAATTATTTTCTGTGCTTGGCCACAACTGGCAGGTGTAATAATTGCATGTTGTACTTTAGTACCTGTACACCCACACTGAGTACTCTGGAACTTAGCACATGGAGCCACTGCAGCGACCCAGTGGTTGCGGTGGTCAGCTGCTCACCCAAAAGACATGGGTTCAGTCATGGCTGCTCCAGTCGCATTTCAATGTAGGCGAAATGTTAGAGGCCTGTGTACTGTGTTATGCGAGTGCACATTAAGAGAAACCAGGTCATTACAATGTTCCTGAGCCCTCCATCATGGCGTTTGATAGCTTGAGTCACTGATTTGGGATATTAAACCCTAATAAACCAACCAACACGTACAGTAGTCAATACAAGGAAGAAGCACAAGAGAAAAGGAATAGATGACCCACATGAGGGAAATATGTAAAACAAGACTGTTAGTGTGTGTGCATGTGCACTCACATTTGTTTGCATGTCCACTGCCACTTGAACAAAACACTATGAATATCATGGATGATATTCATAGTATGAATATCACCACTATGAATTTCATGGATGATATTCCCTCTGAGGGGCTCCCTTTAAAGGGCCACTCAACAGGCTCACTTTTTTTTACACCCCCCAAATAAGCTGGAAATTCATAGACTGCAGCGATCACGTTTTCTGAATATTACAGCGCTTCACACTGTGCAGAGCCTCCAAAAACAATGCCCGCGCATCTTTCTTACGCCTGACCAATCTTCTTCTACACGCAATGGCGTCAACTCTGTGATTGGCGATGTGACACAGCACGCAGCTCGTCGATTGGTCTAAAGCAGGTCTCAACAAACAGTAATGGAGTCAATGTCAGTTCCTGTTCCCACCCACAGCTACAAAACTGCCCCTTTTTCTTGCCACTGCAGTTCTGACCTCGCAGTTGTCACGCGTATACATTCTTGCGCGCACGTGCTTCACCCTCTACATGAGCAACATGGGAAAAAACCGTTGCTTCGTGGGCGGAGTCGCGACAACGGGCTTACCTTTCCCTCCCTGCGAGGAAGAAGAGTGGAGAGGCAGCGGGAAAATTTGAGACCAGCTGAAAGCGATTCTCTTACCCCCGTAACTTCCTTAATATAGCATATATTTGCAACCTTCTTCCAGCAGCTCATGTTCATGAAGTAAAAGTGCACATATTTTTTTATAACAATTTTTTTACCTTGGGGCTGTTTACTGGCCCTTTAATATTTGCTCTATTTATTACAGTGCAGACGATAGTTATAATATCTGAGAAAATGGGTAATTTCTATATTTATTGCTGCAAACATCTTGAAGAAGCACTAAAAGCACATATTGAGTTGGTGTGGATCATTGAAATAGCTATTTAAAAACCTTATAGTGCTTGTTTTGTGCCATGAAAAGAAATTTGGTTGTAGTGGTTTGTATATCGGTGGCACAGTTCAGACCTCTAGCCTGCAAGAAAGGGTGTGTAATGTAGCATTTGTCGTGCTTTCTCTGTACTGCACGACAGCCAGTGCTAAAGTGCAACGGGGCACATCCTGGCGAAAATGAAACTTGCGTAGTTCTCAAGGCCAGTGCCAAGAAGTTTTTTCTTTCTTTCAGTAATCAAACTGAAACAAAGTTGCATTTTATTCTATTTTGTAATTCACTGCTGTATAATTTTCAATCGTGAATTCTTTGACTAAATGTTAGTAATACTGATAATGTTCTACATCATCGTGCTCTTGTTACAGAATGTCCCAGTTGTAGCTGAAATCGTGACCCACACATACTCTTTTTTCTCGGTTACTGAAGTGCTTCTCAGCATACTACTAATGTTTGAGGTTCTTAAGCATTATCTTTCACTGTGACATCCTTTAGTGTCCTTTAGTGTCCCTTCTTAGGTTATTGCCATACCAATAGGATGGTTGCATCACAGCGGCTGTTCTGTACCTATTTGGTAATACAGCATATAGTAATAAACTCTTTTAGGGCAGCTTTCATGAAGAAGTAAATTCAGTTAATTCCTCTGTAAAAGAAGCTATGTTTGTTACTCATTGCAGGTTCATGGTGAAAGGCTGTATGTGTTTTTTGCTCTAGTATTCGCATTAGATGCAGAGGCATCATATTTGCTACCAGTATATATAGTACTGTTTGAAATTGATGTAACATTACACAAAGGATATATCCTACTTAGGAATCCTCTCCAACTTTTTTTTTTGCAATTTCACTTCAAAGTATTCAAAAAATATTTTGTTTGATTCAAACTCTCACTTCAGTAGTTAAATTCACGTTGCACCTAAAATTTTGCTATCCGGACAGCTCTAATAAATAGTTACATTCCCCTAGTGCATTGAGAACTTGGACCTCCATGTATATCAAAAGTAAACATCAAAAGCTGTATACTGAAAAGGAGAAAAGAAGTGTTGATGGAAGGGCTTGTTTTCTTTGTTAGACACAATAATAATTTGTCTGTTAGTTCTCATTAATATTAGAAAAAAGTTCTATATAAATGTAAGAAGTTGTATAGTATCGACATTTCATGTTCAAAAGCTTAAGGGGAAAAGGCTTTTTTATCTTTTTGTTGTGATTGTATAATATTTTTTTTAATAATTTTGTTTTATTATTTCAGGTGTGGCTGGTATGTGTGCTAAGACAACAGTAGCACCACTGGATAGAATCAAGATACTTCTTCAAGGTCACCAGTGCCACTACAAGCATTATGGTATACTTGATTTTGCTTGTTAAAATAACTTCACTTGTTGTACCTAAAGAATCTCTTACTGTCTGCTTGCTAACACTTTCTAAATCAACTGCAGGTGTATTCTCAGGCCTCAAAGGCATAGTGCAGAAAGAGCAGTTTCTTGGCCTGTACAAAGGCAATGGAGCACAGATGGTCCGTATCTTCCCCTATGCTGCTGTACAATTTCTTTCATTCGAAGCATACAAACGAGTAAGTTTTTCTCTCTATTGTTAATATGCTAATTAGTGTGTCAGCTGTATTCTGAGTACTGTAATATTTCTAGTGATAGAAAATACTTCTTAGTGGTGTTTTAGTCTTTTGTGCTCATTTCACTAGTGACACCCACCCAGCTATTTATTATGATGTTCAGAATCTGAAAACTGTTTGCCTGCATCAATACAGAGCTCACAGAAGTATCTTTGTGAGGATGGTTTACTTAAGGTACTCTAGCTTGCTCATAGAAGTACCTAGAGCTTCACAAGAGTATTCTTGCAGGGCAGACTTGGTGAAAGGAAGAAGCGTATGCAAAAGAAACAAATGAACAATCTAAAATATATACATAATTGAATCATATATCAAGGTAATAATTCAAGCGTAAAAAATGTCATGGTGATAACAGGTTCTTGTAGGCATGCCTACATTTCATAAAAATTAAAGGGCTTACTGTAGATTGGTATATAAAAATGATTGAAAGTGTGACATATTTTATACAGAACCATTAACAGTGTGGCAATCTATCCACTGTGCATAATTATGCAGGAAAAATGAACTGTTGAAAATGTCGGTACAACAGCCTATTTCAAGAACTCCAAACATGGAGTCACAATGCATGTAGGTCAAGTAGGGCTGGAAAAAATATAAAGTTTCTGTTTATTTCTTCTTTATCATAATTCATGTGACATAGTGCAACATGTTGGAGACGAAGAAAGACACATACCCAGGTCTGTGTACGTGTCCTCCTCTGTCGTGTTGCACTGTGGCAAATGAACTGTGAATCTTAACAATTTAGCCTGGCATGTGCCTTGTCCCCTCTTAATTTCATAAAGCTACTTCTTTTAAAGACGTTTCTTTTCTTATTGTTAGAGGTTTGCAGCCTTTGAGGTCAATGGTCGGGCCTCTTCTGAGAAAGGGATGAGACTGCAGCTGTTTGTTGTCGGGCACAGTGGTGGTCCGTACTAAGCTGAAGTATTCCCATTCAGAAAGATGAAAATTTCTTATTTCAGGAATTTTCCCCTGTAAACGTTGACGAAATTCGTAGCATATTTCCCTGCACAACAGTACAGATTTCCACCGCCATCCAGCACACGCATATGATTACACGTGCCTGACGTACTGGCGTCTTTTGAAATCATGACTAGCCCCTTCACTGCCACACAACAAAAGCACAATTTTTAAAATTCATATACTGTTAGTAAATTGCACATTTTGGGTTTCAAGTTTAATATCAATAGTGAACTAGAAATCGCTCCCCGTAAACATCGGAAAAAAATCGTAAGGGCTATGCTTGCGGGGTGAATGCGCCAGAACTGATTACAGTAGATGAAGGCGTACTGCGACAGCAAATTATCAGTCATCATAGGAGAATTTAACCATTCCTGAAATTTTCTGCAATGTCATATTCCCCTTTTCCATTTGGCTCAAAACAACAGGCGAAAATTTCCCATTAAAGGAAAAATTTTCTGCACGGAACATCACTGGTCGGGCACTGCTTGAAAGTTTTTTTTGCGATTGGCTTAGGTGGGTGTTTTCCCATTGCATTATGTGTCATCGCTAAATCAGTGTTTCTTGATTTCTTTAGTTTTGTAGTTTCAAATTGGAGTGAATGAAAGGTCAATAAAAGTTTCAAATTTAATAGGGTTTTTATCTGTTTTAAAATAGAGCTATCTATTAGAAGTTTTAGAGGAGAATCTAAGTTTTCTAGCTATTTAGTTAAAGTGCCTTTATTGTTTTTTATAAAACAGTTGCCTATTCCAAATAGTTCTTCTTTCACACAAAAGCCATAATTTTATCATAAATCACGGTATGTGGTTGTTGCCTCTTTATAAGCTTTTCCTTATTTTTATGCCTTTATGGTGATGCCTTAAAATCATTTTCAGGTTATACGAAACACCTTTGAAAATACTTCGCATGCAAGCAAGTTTGTGGCAGGATCGTGTGCAGGTACGTACAGTACTAATGCATCACTAAGCATGATAGCAGGTTTTTTGATTGTGTGATTTATTTTACTTGCACCAGCTGAAATTTTGTAGATGTCAACATAGAAAAGAATGTGTTGACCTCTTACTGGAAATGAACTGAGCAAGTTGGTTGAACAAGCAACTACAGGCTCATGCATGTCTGCAGCATGGTTCCACATGATTGCATTATGATGTTTGCCATCTGGTGTTTTTTCAGTAATGCATATAGTAGTACAAAGCAAGTGTTGCTCGAGAATGTTATGGCATAGTGCCAGGAGGTATGCACAGTAAGCCATCAGTATCTACAAACCCCTGCTACCTATAGAGATCGAAAAGCAGGGTGATTAGCAAGGTTGCACCTGGTTTCTTATGCTAAGTAGGCAGAAGGGGATGAAAAAGAACACAAAACATTTGATACATCAACACACATTGCACACTTCATCACAAATATTCAGTTCTTACTCATGCTTAGTATACAATGGCAACTAAAAATGTGGAGACCGTACCTATGTGGCTTGATTCCTCTTGCAGTCAAAAGTGTTTCTCTTAATAGCAGTAACACAACAAACAGCTCAGGAACTACCTATTTTATAAGCTTGCAGAAGCTGCTCAGATGTATGCTTGTGTCTGAATCTTTGGTTCAAAAACTTCCCAATGGCATGCACAGGTGTCACTGCTGCAGTGACTACTTATCCACTGGACATGGTCAGAGCAAGACTGGCGTTTCAAGTCAATGGCCACCACATCTACAATGGAATTTTTCATGTTGTAACCTCAATTGTCAAGACGGTATGTTATTTTAATTCATTTATTGGGAATTTGATAATTTTGTTTGCTTTTGAACCATTTACCTTTCACAGATTTTTCTGACATTATCTTATAAATTATCGCCATTAATATCATGAACGAACTACATATATGACTTTTTCTTGTACAGCATCACCACTGATCGAATGACATTCGTTACACTGAATGACATTTGAACCTAATGAAATTAACACCTCCAGTATGATGGAGGTATTAACGAATCATTGCCTTAAATTATTTAAGCTTGTGGTTTTCTCTGATGTAAATTGATCAAATATTGTTGGAATGTTAATTGCCTTGGGAACGTGATTAATTAAATGACTCAAAGTAGCTTCAGTGGTTTTAAGTGCTACGTGGCTAGTACTAGTGTGTGTGTGTGTGTGTGCGTGTGCGCACGCGTGTGTGCGCGTATGGGTGCGTGCGTGAGAGAGAGAGAGAGACAAGCTAGACCTTTTGCTTATGTTTCATTGATTTTGACATGATAGAACATGTATTCCAACCATTCATTCTGGTGGTTATATACTAATGATTTAAATGATATTGATGTATGTAATGTGAAGCAAACACCTTGTTGCACACAAATGGGCATTCGACATTCTAATGTTAGGGATAAGTCTTGTACTCCTTCCAATTGACTGCGCAACACATTTCTAGTGTGCTTTTTCATGTGGCTATCAATGTAACTCTGCAGAATCACATGAAATATATTTTTATTATAATACATTAGCTGCTGCCCTTTCGCACTTCAAAAGGTCGATATAAAAGTAGCAAAGAAAAGATGGTTCAATTCTGGTTGGAGACTTTCAAATGCTTGCACTTTATAAATGACTAGAGTTTGTGCTGTCAGTTTACATTCTCATAGGAATAAAAAAAATTAAGACAATGGTTGCACGCATAAAAGTGTTAATTTCAATTATGCTTCCTTACCAGGCATTACTAGCTCCGCCACAGTGGTCTAGTCGCTAAGGCAATTAACATTCCAACAATATTTGATCAATTTACATCAAAGAAAACCACAAGCTGAAATAATTTATGGCAATGTTTCGTTAATACTTCCATCATACTGGAGGTGTTAATTTCATTGTTAATTTCATTCATCTGCTGACCCGCAGGTCATGGGATCGAATCCCGGCTGTGGCGGCTGCATTTTCGATGGTGGCAAAAATGCTGTAGGCTCGTGTGCTCAGATTCGGGTGCGCGTTAAAGAACCCCAGGTGGTCGAAATTTCCCGAGCCCTCCACTACGGCATCTCTCATAATCATATGGTGGTTTTGGGAAGTTAAACCCCACATATCAATCATTACCATGCATTACTGTAATGTTTCTGGTGTATGGTGGCCTGCAACCCTGTACATTTACTGCTAGCTGCCTGTGACGGCTTTCACTGCTTAACGCTAGTGTCATCTGGAGTCTGTTGCAAATGTTTGAAAGTCGCTTGCTAGAGTATGTGAGATCGGTAAATTGGAGTTATAGTTGACAGCGTTCATGTGCAGTAGGGTCAAAGCCACATCTTACTGTAGGCAAGTCTTGGCAAGCAAAGCAGGGGCTTGTGTACTGCTAGATTATGAACATTTGCCCTTACATTTTTTACAACAGGCTGCACGTTATGTAATTTTTGGTATCAATAATAAAAACATTCAGAAGGGTGCCTGTACAGAATAGGCTTCAGTTGATAGTGTTCATGAGCTGCAGGAAATCCGTTTCAGCCCAAAGTAAACTTTTGCTGTGTTACTTTATTTATAACAGACACAACATTTAATAATCAAGAAGTTAACCTAAACTGACCTTCTAGTTTTTATGAGGTGTTGGCCACAGATGAACAGTCATTACGAGTGTTAAGTCAGAAAGCATCGGAAAGTAACATATTTTTAACAACGCTCACTTGGAGAGTCGAGCAACGTCCTTGTGTAATGTATAAATCGTATGTTACGGATGACTTACTTACTGAACACTTAGTTCATGTTTACAAATGCTGCAGGAAGGTGGCATCAAAGCACTGTACAAGGGTCTTTCTCCAACAGTTCTTGGCATGGTGCCTTATGCAGGTATGTACTCTGTTAATGTCATTTTGTGGTATTGAAGGAAGAGGAGCTTATTTTGTGCAGAGTATCTTCATCTAAGGCTGCATGGATATCCTTTAATACACTAGAACCTCCTTGTCAAGTTCACTATATTTTCTATACTCTTACGCTGTGAGCCACTGGTCCCATCAGTAATTTTTGTAGGCCATGTGTGTCGATGCCAATTTCTCAAGATTTTGCTTCTGGTTGTTTTATTCAAAAACTTCAACTCTACCTGTACTATAAAAACTCTCCACTGCTTTGGGGTCATCAGTTGGTACTGGCTATGTTAGCTGCTGTATACTGCTACTAAGTATGATGCATCATGTCCATTATTAGCTACAAAACACAAGTGCTTTGCCATGCATATCATGCTGTATCCTATATAGAATGTAGTAATACCAAGGATATGCATTGACAATACCTGCAAGTCTGCTGAAGAGGTGCAGATGGTGCTGTTGCATGAATAATGAGGTTCTATAAAGTTTCACATTTGCCACTGCGGTTACAATTAATGTTGGCTAACACTCTCAAGATTTTGTTTTCAGAAATACCCAAGAAAATGGTCAGGGAAATGGTCACCATAGTAGCTCAGTTGGCAGAGCACTGCATGTGTAATGCTGAAGTAGTAGGTGTAGTCGCTGCCAGTGGCAAGTTGTTTCATTCGCAACTTTCACGACCTATAAGTGGCGCGACTGTACATCCAACATGGCGGTCATTGAGATGATCGCCCTCAAAGAGACTGTACCGAAAAGTACACTTTTGATGAAGAGTGCAATTCTTCGCGCTTCAGTATCCCTTCGATTTGTGTTTTTGAGAAAGTAGGGTAGCGCTGACATAGCATATTAAGTAAATAAATGCCTGGTAGCACATCAAGCAGATAAATATGCACAAAATTATAAATAAGCCTCTTCACATTACTGGCTGTGCGTAATCGCGGACAACGCCTGAAGTCATGTTGAAAAAGTATAACAGTAGCTTTTGTATAAATTTCTCAGTAATGTCGGAAACGTTTTGTCAACGTGCTTTATCTTAGTTTTGCTTGCATTGCATTCTACGCAAAGCTTGTTCAGCTCATCTAAAAGCATGAAGTAGAATAAGCAGATGAAAAAAAATCTTGTTTTTCAATACCGAAGTGCAAATGCCGACAGAGTCTGTCTTAATACTGGCAATATAATTTTAGGGTGCTTTCTTGATTAAAGTAACAATAGAATATCCAGAGGATGAATTTGGTAAGCAGCGAACGAAAGCAGTGGTAATACTTGAGCACTTTTCACGTTTAAGAGGTGACGTTTCCGTTACTTTTCCATGTTTCGGTGTTTGAGAAGTACAAAAGATAGCATGGTGCAGGGCAGAAACGACAAAAAAAAAAAAAAAATGCCGTCAGCAAGTAAGACCGAACACAAGTTGCTGCAGACGTGAAGGTCATAAAGGCACTTCGCAAACACTTCAGATGTGTAATGATGCGAGGAACGTTTTGAATTCAATTCTTTTGTTTCTATTCTGAAGGTGGAACGCATTCTTAATTTAGTTCTGGTACTGTTTGCAGAGCGACCGAGTCGAGCAGACTGAACTAAGTGCAAAACCTGGAAGCTGCTGTACTCGTACACAAAATGGGTGCTGCATACATTCACGGGCTTTGGTTATTTGCCTGCGAAATTTAACCCTCTTAACCACTCATGGCTTTTTGGGGCGCTGATTTGAACGGGAGCCTAATTACTTTTTCTCGCGGTGTATATAGGCTTTGAGCATCGAGGCTCAGAAAAGAAATCGGTCGGCCTTTCCTTTTTCTTCCTGCTTTCCCTTTAAACTGATTTATTTGGACTGATTTATCAGCGCAAAAAAGACGGGACATTTAGAAATACACACACACACACACAGTGCTGTGTGTGTGTATTTCTAAATGTCCCGTCTTCTTTGCGCTGATAAATCAGTCTAAATAATCATGAACCAACTTGCCAAAGCAACAGTTTTAGTGAAGTTTATTTCCCTTTAACTTGAGAAACTCAAAGGGTTACGGTAATATCGAGGCCGTTCACAATGTTTCAAAATGACCACAAAAAACGGGAATTCAAGCATATACATCTGCTATTTGAAGCAGGTCCAACACTTCAATCATCTCAACGGAGCTGCCGGCCGCCGCCGCTCAGCGGTGCCACAGTACCTAGAAGGTGCGAATTGCACTAAAAGGCATATGTTCCAGATGCATTGTTGCCATCGTCGCCATCATAAGGTTTTGTACATCTCAGGCCAATAATACCGCCCTGCGCATTGACTATTCTGTGTGTGCAAGTGAAAGCAGCTGATGATCACAGCTCACAATGACAAGAAACAGGCTGGTTGTCTTGGGGTGTCCCATAACTCTGCACTTTGATTAGCCAGGCACGGTGGCACACTTAATCTTGAGAGATCATCAGACTAATTGTACCTTTGTAGTACGTGCTACGTTTTCACCACTGATCTTGCATTCAAGCTATATGCTGCACGAAGGTCACTTTGCTTGCTCAAGTGGCCATGCTTTCTTATGCCAGCATTTCGAGTTATGCCAGGTCGAAGGCAGAAGAGCTAGCTGCTAGCCTTAGTTCATATAACATTCCAATTCGTTGATATCGCATTTACGTCTTCACCCTTCTGGCAAAACTGACATTTTCTCCTCCTTCAATTCAATTAGTTTTTTTTTATCTAATAAATACTGTAGTTGTATTGAAAACTACAAATAACATCTGCTGTGCTTTCCTTGGCCTTGTTATATGCTGGCTTCATGTGGTTTTATAACAAAAAAATAACTCTAAATGCAGTCCCCGCGAGCTTCATTTCATATGATTAAAGGCAGTGACCACTTAAAAAAAAAGTGCCTAAATGGACAGACAACTGCTGAAAACATGAATCGAGATAATCCCACCAATGGGAAGATTGTCTATTGTATTGTCTAAAAAGCACCCAGTTTTTTCATTAAAAATGCAGATTATATTTTTTTTCTTCAGTGGCGCTTCTTGCGGCAAGAAAGTGAAGATGTACTTGATGAAGGGCAGTGCACGTAGCACATAACCAGGATAAGCGCTGGTCATTAAGGGTAACTGACTGGATTCAAAGAGAAGGCAAACAAGTAAGGGGATAGAGAAAGTTAGGTGGGCCAATGCAATTAAAAAGTTTGCAGGTACTGTAACGTGGCAGCAGAAAGCACAAGACTGGGTTGATTAGCAGGACATGGGAGAGGCCTTTGTACTGCAGTGGACATAGTCAGGCTGCCACTGATGATGGTGTCCCTGTCATAATTTGCACTGTTTTGAAAATGAATTTGACACACCGAATAAATATGTGCACGCTTGTAGGGGCAAAACGGAAACTGAAGACGCTGAAATGAGCTTGTGCCAGATCACAATATTTGTTCGTACTACCCGACACAACAAACGGCCTAAAAAGGCCTGATGACACTTCAAGTAATCATCGAATGGCTTCATTAAAAGAGCCTATTGTCTCGTGAATCGGCTGGTGCAAAACTTTTTATAATCTGTCTGGTAAGAGCTGAGTTACAAGGATTTGCGACACACTTCAAGCGCTTTCTCCCTCCTTCCTTTTGTACTAGCGCGCAAGCATGCTGCAAGCTATGCAGGGAGAGGGATGGCAAGGGTGCAAGATGTGTCTCCATCAGCGTGCATCATGATCTTCAGCACTTTTCTTTTTGTCTTCAAAGGTGCAGCTTGCTTTCAGTGGAATTGCAAGCGTGCATGCTACATTCCAGCATCCGATAGCGGCCACAGTAACTATGCAGTTCACAATGTTCAAATCAGCCAGTGTCTGTGGACTTTGTGCTTATAGCTTCGTCATTTTGGGTACACGACATTGGCAATCATTTGTTAATTTTGGGTCATGTGCTGCGCCATAATGTTTGGCTTGCGTGTTCTCGGGAACCTCGGCTATTGACCAGCAGCGTTTTTGGACCATGCTGAAGAAGTGTTCCAGGCCCCTTTAAACAGCTCCACTGTTGAAAATCATGTGAGGGCAAAGCAATGAATGCGATTAGCTGCAAATGGAAATGTCATACAAAGAAAGGCTGACAGCTAACTCTTTCAGCATCCGATTTGGTGCAATCCAACAAAATACAGCCACTGTACCTTTGTGTAGCTATGAGAATGCAACATGTGCAAAGGTACAAGCCATTTTATGATCACTATCAAAATAAGAGAGCACATGACCATGGCTGGCCAAGCATAGTATGGAGTTCCTGGCAAAGCAATCCAACCTTCTTGCATAGGCGATAGTTATAGCGTGAGAACAAAACGATGACACAGAGACAAGGACACGAATGACACGAGCGCTAACTTCCAACCGAGTTTATTGCGCAGAGCACGAAAATATTGCGCAGAGCACGAAAAAAAACTGGCATTAGTTCGCGAGATTTTCTTGACCTGGTTTTGCTGTATCTTACGTCTACTTTCGTTCAATGGAATGATTGCATTTATCTGCAGAAAAAGGATGTTTCAATTGGTTCATGCATAGCACCTCTACTCGGTGATCTGTTGGCAAAAATGGGCAAAAAACTGCAGGACAAGTTAGAGGGCTCGCATGTCGTCAAAATATTCAGATACATGAATGATTTCTTGGTTCTTCTAAATTGTAATTCTTCTATGTTTCACTCGTTTGAGACTCAAACGATAGGTGTGTCCGAAGATTGCTTAAAGCCTCTTGTGTTGGGCACATGAAATGCCTGAGAATGACATGTTACGCTTTTTGGGTTTAAAACTGGTTTTTAGCTCACAGAACATCTGTTGGTGTTATGAACCAAGTGCGCAGAAACCTCTTCTTCCCTTTTCTTCCGCTCACAGCAAGTTAGTTAAGCGAGGCATAGCACGAACCTGTCTTGAGAATGCCTTAAATAGGTCGTGTGACCACAATATCTCTGCGAGCTTCAAAGCTCGTTTCCCGGCTTAAGGCTTCAAGTTTCCCCGAGGCATTTATCGCTTCCGTTGCTGAGACTATCCTGCGGACTAATAAGGCAGAACAGAGGCAGCGACAGAATCCGAGCAACACGGATACAGAACGTGAAAGGATAGCCGTGATTCCTTACAAACATCAGATATCACACAGTCTCAAGAAAATCGGAAAACGTGTTGGAGTTCGTGTCCTGTTCTCGGCACCGTTCAAATTAATCAGCCTCGCCAAATCTACAAGCCCCCTGAAAACCCGGTCATCAACGGAATGCAGATTTCAACATAGAAACAGGTATGCGGCCTGCTCCCGGGAAGTTGTCGATCCCTTTCATGCGGTGCTTGTTATGTCGGAATGACCGGAAGGTGTCTGAACGATCGACTGAGAGAACACGCTAACAATGTTAGAAATGGGAAAGATGGTTTTTTTGCTCAGCACTGCACTGAGTGCAATTGTGTTCCCTTCAAGGACACAGCGACGCTGTACAAGCACAGAGATGAGCGCACACGAGTCATTGTCGAGGCCGCGGAGATGGCACGCGAACAGGTGCCTTGTATTAGCAAGCCCTCCGTGGCTCTGTCCGAGAAGGAACTCGGGTTCCTCGAAGGTTTCGGTGCGCACAGGTAGTTATATTATCTTTACCTTTCTGTTTTGTTTTTATAGATTTTTCTTTGCTGTTTTTCTGTGTTTTTGTTTTTCTCTCACTCATGTTCTGCTCCTTGTGCCATATGGCTTTTATCACATGGTAACTGTCTCCTCTATATATTTTCGTGCTCTGCGCTATAAACTCAGTTGGAAGTTAGCGCTCGTGTCTTTCGTGTCCTTCTTGTCTCGGTGTCGTCGTTTTGTTCTCGCACTCTATCGTCATGTCATACCAACTAGCCCAAGCTGCCACACTTCTAAGTTCCTGCATAGGCTTTTGTAATGACGAAAAACAGCCAATACGTTTCCTCCCCGCTTGTCATGATCATTGGGTGCCCTCTGACATTGAACATGCAATGCACTAGGTGATGTTATCCATTCGGATTCAATATGGAACATCACAGGAATGGCAAAAACGCACCTGGAGTGCCCATATATTTGCTATCCTCGTAAAAATTCATCTGATAACACATGAGGTGGTTTCCTTTCATCACTGAGAGAGTTCTAGCTGTTTGACTTTGGTAGCCTAGGTTACATTGCACAGAAAATGTGCTTTGCTTCTGCTAATATTCTCTGCAGGACTCTCCTTCTACGTGTTTGAGCGCTTGAAGGCCTTTTGCCTTGAAGTCTTTCCAAACACCTGTGGGCGTCCGTACCCTGGAAACACCGGTGGTATTGTTCTTGTGGTTCCTGCCAAACTCCTATGTGGCGGCTTTGCGGGTGCCATTGCACAGACTTTTTCGTAAGTATCCCTCTGAATACATTTTTCTTTTGAGCTTTCATCTTGTAATTTTTTTGTTTTACTTAGGCATAATGTTCACTGAGGAACTAGACATATGGTGCAAAAGTTTTTAAAACTGCAGTCTGTCATATAAATTACTGGTCAGTGGCTTTTCCACCAACATTTATTTGAATTATTACCCTGCTTTCACATTAATTTTTTAGATACATGGTGTCAATTACTGTCAGTATTGATGTAGAAGCTAGGAAAAATGTTTTCAGCATTTTTTTTTCTGTTGTAGAATTCTAATGAACCATTTAGATGCCTTTATAGGCTCACACTGGGCACAGTAACCAATTTTCACATTTACTAGAAATACAGCTGTATCTTGATTGTGCGTTGTTTTGATATAGCATATATAATCTTCACTACATGAGATCATATTGAGCTATGTTGTGCAAAGCTGAACACTAGCTTTAGCATTTGATCATTTAAGCACACAGACAAATTTAAATTCAGGCTGACAGTCGGCTTCTCTAGTTTGCATGCGTGTCCTCGGGCCAGATTTCCCGTGAGGTCTAACATATATGAGAGTGAGCTTGCCATGGCTCATGAAGTAAGTAGTAGTGACTTGCTAGCACTGCTCTTTCTGAAGCTGGTTACCAAAGCTGTACTTTGCTACCTCAAGAATATCATTTTAGTGGCCATACTGACCTGAAAAAGCTAGAATAATTTTGCCAGTAAAAGAGAGGATATATGCAATTAACATGACTGTGCGTGGCATAGCAGTGTATGTGGTCACCACATGTTTAACATTGCTGATGCAGATCATATTTAAACCAGGAGGTTGTGACTGGGAGGCTAAATGGTGGAATGCTCCAGTTACATGTGCTGAAATAGTGACTTGATGCTGCGTTCCCTTAACGTTGTCATAAGTAAGCAGCTCCAGTGCTGTAGCCCAGCATATTATGCTGCTAGTGGGGCAGCAGTTCCTGGAGAACCAGCAACAGTAGGTTGCACGAGAAGGCACCTAAATTCCAACAATTTAGTCGTTGAATATCTTTACGAGTGCATGGAATCTGTCACTGTGGCACTTGTCAATTAAGCCATCAACCATTGCTTTGTGGGAGCTTACTTGAAAGAGGAGCTGCAATCAGGCAGAAATCGCTTGATATGTTAACTTTAAAGGACACTAAAGGCAAATATGGTGCAGTGAAAGTTCAACGTACGACATCTAAAATTATCAACAGCAGTGCCCTACTTATCGAGAAATTAAGCGAAATGTATCAGAAAATTGTTCAGTGGCCGTTGTTGCTGCTGTGGCTCTCGCTACTATCGCTGTGCTGCTACAAGTATCGGGGAATGCGCACTGGAGACGGGCAGCGTTGGGCACGGCAACAGTTATGTGAAAAAGACCGCTTTCAGGTGGGTAATTTGAAGTGCGCTAACATGATGTGGACTGCTAAAACATCATTTTATTTCAAAATAAGCACTTTCTCTGTACAGAATTACCACTATGAGGTTTCTGGACCACTATTTCAGTAATCGTTGAATTAATATTTGTCTTTGGTGTCCCTTTAAGGCATATTAGCAAAAGAATTGTGCTGCAGTTCACGATTCAGCACCCATAGCAGCTAAGAGAAGGCACCTCGGGATACATGAAACGAGAATGTGGTTATCCTCTATATTTATGGAATTAGTTAATCTCTGTCCATATCTTTAATGTGATAGTGTTAACGAGCTTGTTTTGCAGAAATGTCGGCATGAGCGTCGTTAGTTGTGAACAAATAAATGGAGAAATATACAAATAAAAAATAAAAATTTTCTGGTCTAGGTGAGAATCGAACGTAGTCTGTATGCGTTGCAAGCAGGAATTCTACCACACAGCCACATTTCTGCTTGGAAATACCATGAGAAATACTTTTTCTGCTTAGAAATGCAGAGAAAATAACTTTCATGCCTTACAAACATGCATCCTGTATGCAGGCTTCACAATACAGTATGTAATATCACAGTTATATTGCACGTGGTACAAGTGTATATTGCCATTGAGCGTCGGAACATGTGATTATTCGTACGACTTCGTTGTTTAAAGCTGGCCACCCCTTACAAAACGCACACATGTTACTGTGCCTATCTTCTTAAGACCACTTAGAGGGTGCACAGCAGGTTCGAAAGCACTCCACGCGCATAATTTCTTGTAGTTGAAAGCATGCTACCTATTACAACGAATGCTGCCGTCAGCGAAAGCTTCTCTGACACAAGCCACTTTCAACTTTATCGATTACTCTAGGGCAAGTGCATGAGCGTATACTACCATAAAAATCTTCTTGTAATAACCGCCTCGTTTTGAACAAAGGATCACCATAGATCTTGAAATGCACTCAAGTACCAATATTCAACATGCACAAGCATGCACACATTGCCACCCTGGCTAATACCGTATTTACTCGCATAATCCTCGCACTTTTTTTGCCTTAAAACCGATGCAAAGTTGGGGGGTGCGAGAATTACGGGGGAAAACTTTCCACGAAAACGTACAGAGCGAAAAAGAAAACAAAGTGGCCACAAATCGGGATTCTCACACCAGCAATTAACAGCAAGCTTTAAGAAGTGTTAATTAAAACTTATCTTAACAATAAAAGCGGAGGTTCAACACAAGGCAAGATTTATTTGAGAGACAAAAAGTCACAAAGCTTGTGGGCGTTGCGGGCCTAGCGGTAGTGTTCGTCGCTCAACAGGAGCCCTCAAAAGGTAAGCGTAGGACGTCAATATTGGGCTGATAGCTATTTAACAGAATCGTCCGCAGTTTCCTTCTGAAGAAATAGTTTACCATCATTCCCAGCTTTAGGCATACGGAAGGCCCAATGCGTCTTGGTGGCTTTCAGCTGCCGTCACCACTAGCGAACACAAAACTCGTAGACAAACGGCGGCCCTGTTGCCGTTGTTTAGTGCATGATCTATCACTCGCAACTTGAAGCAGCCGTGTAGCTTCAGTATCTCCCCATAACGAGTTAAAATTACCGACACAACATACAAAACGCCGCAACGCGCACTGGCCACTTCGGCTTGGCTTAGATTGAGTTGAAAATCCGTGCAATAGTACGCTTGATGCTTAAGAGATGGCGCGATGGAACGAGCAGACGACATTATTGCGGCAGTTTTCGGGGGGTGCGATAATTACTCGAGAAAAAAAAGAAATCGTATTTTTGTTGGGCGATGTGGGGGGTGCGAGAATTACGCGAGTAAATACGGTATGTGTGTTTTACATCAGTCGGTGACCTTTTCTTTAAGCCACAGACTATAAAACCTCAAAGAAAAACCTCAGTGTTAAATGTACATAGGAAAGTGAAAGTTTATCCGTTGTGACTAGCAGGGTCATCTTCATGATTCTGAGCACCATACAGTGTGCGTTCTGAGGAACATTTTGGCCAATTGTTCACATTATTTGCACCCATCTCGTGCTAGATTTAATTTGCCAAGTAAGAATTTTGACACCTAGAGATGCACAAAGGAATGCAGAGCATGTCTTTTCTAGCTACATATAATGGATGCTGATTAATTGGAGACTGACCCCCAAAAAATACTTGGCTGAAATCATTGCTAGTACAAAAGATCGGGGGCAGCATCAATAGCTAACACCAAGTTTCTTTATAGCCAAGCCTTTGTCACATAAAGACACTAGTCCCCTGCCTTGAGAATAAGAATTTCGGCTTTCACACTGATTTTGTGCAAAATAAGAAGAGGATTTGCAGATTCATATACTAGTGTATAGATTTAGTAAGCATCTGTCCATTGTTCTCAATACCTTTAGAAACTCAACATTTGCATAAAGTTCTACTGCATGTGCAGTGTGGTCGCGTTGCCACCGTAGCTGCGCAAACCTGGAAGCTGTAGAGGTTTGCAGTAAAAGGAAGTGAATCTCGGTCAGATGCCATAATACCACCTCAGAGCTTATAAGATTAGGATAATTACTGTACAGTGTGTTGCCCTTCGTTATCTGTAAAACATTGGACTGTGTTCTTTGTGTACAGCTATCCTCTAGACGTGGCCCGTCGACAAATGCAGCTCAGCATGATGCACCCAGAAATGAATAAATACAGGTAAGTGAATGACAGCATTCATACGGACTAAACACTTTTTGTGTGCACATTATATCCAACTTATATACTCACTCTAGCTGCCACTTGTATAATTATTATCAGCACATGACTTACCTGTGTTCAGGCATGAAAATCCTCTACTTAAAAAAAATTAAAAGCAGTTGTCCTAGAGGCTCTGCAACACTTAAAGTAATCATTGAATGACTTTGTTGTAGGGTTTGCTTATTTGCAAATCGATTGCCACAAAAATGTTTTGAATCTGTAAAGTACGAGCAGAGTTGCAGGGATTTGTCGCATGCTTTCAGTGCTTTCTCTTTCTTCTTTTGTCTCAATAGGTGCTCTGAAAGCTACATGGTGGTGGGAGGCTATACACAGGGGGAACCTATGTCGGCATATCTCATGACCTTAAGCACTTTCTTTTCCTTTATTCTTCGAATGTGTTGGCTAACGCTTGATGTAATAATGAATGCGCTATTGAATTCCATATTGTATAATTTTAGCACTATGGAGCACGAAGTGGGTACATGGCAGCACCCCATGGTGGCTGTAGTAACTATCGCAGCACATCAATGCTCAAATTAGCCAATGATCGTGTCTCTCTGCCTATAAAATAGTCAGGTCAGTCTATCATGGAACTTGCTGAGAAACGAGTGAGCAATTTCTAGCTGCCTTTAAATCGCCTGGGCGAAAACAGTGCACAGATGGATGAGACAAGAAAAAGGTAACCTAAGACAAACACTGACCCTCAACTTGAGATTTACTAGAATATACAGATTAAACACTTGTGATAAACACGAAGAACATGCAGAGGGAAGCTGGTGAGGGATTATAACGATGCGAATAGAAAAAATTCACGCTTGGGAAACTGCACTGGCGCGACCAACTAGCCCAACTTTGTCTCGTTTAAATCATAATTGTAAATTCTTTTAGTTTTTGACAGAAGCCATGAACATGACAATAGATAAGGAGAGACACACGCACACTTCTGGTTTATCATACTTCTTGTCTATTGTCATTTTTGCACTTTCTACCTCAAATCATGCAAAATCAATATGCCCAGTTATCCACTTTTAACATAAAATTCCTTGACGCATGCAGCACCATATTTGGCTCGCATGTTAGGCTTTCGATCGGTAGCATTGGGTCACCATGTATGAAGGGCACGCTTAAGCTACTCGAAGCAGGTTTGTTTTAAGAAGCTAACATATTTTGCTCTCAAGAAATGATAGAAAGCATGAAAAAGGAAACCAAGTGCTTGACTTAAGGGGAGACACTGGTCTGAAAAATATTTTTTTAATTTTCAGTATTTCCAGCTGCAATTTTAATACAATATGTATTTTTCACAGCTGAAAACAAATATGTAATTAGTTTTTTGCTATCACTTTTAGATTTTTAAATATTGACTGTTACATAAACTTGCATTCTGCCCAGCCTTTTGACATCTTCCTCATAAAATATTGCTACAAATTTGATATGACAGCATTCCATGAAGGCCAGGGAGTGCAACAAAACCATAATTTTATTTTTAGCTTCATTGGTACCAGAGTTATGGCCTTAACAAGTATACTCATTAGAAATCTGAAACTGTTGCTTAAGTTTGTTGCTAATTAAATCACTATTATAAATAAAAATATTACATTTTTTTTGTTTTCTTGCACTAATCAATGTATAAGCTTTCAAATTCTTCAAGAATTATCAAAATCCAACTGCTACATCAAAAGATACTGTGGGCAATGGCTTAGGGTGTGATGAAAAATGTTGTTTTGAGAAAACGAGAAAAGTTTAGGAACATGCTGAGCACTTATATTTAACAAGAAAAGGTGTGAATCGGTGTATTAACCATGTTAGAAGCCACCAGGAATGTAGTCATCATCATTCTCCTTGGTGCGCTTTCTTTTCATGGCATACCCCAGGTGGTTGAAATTTCCGCAGCCCTCCACTACGGCGTCTCTCATAATCATATAGTGGTTTTGGGATGTTAAACCCCACAAATCAACCAATTCTTTTCATGGCATACTTGGAAGTTTTCAGCATGCTCATGCTTGTTCTCCGATGCCACTAGTCGGCGACTGTCCTTTTTTGAGCATCTTTCAGCGGCCACAACACTCTGCTGCAGGTGCAGCTCCTTCAATATGGCAGCATCTGCTCTCCCTGTGCCAGCGTTGAACCTTGCGACAGCTTCGGCCACAGCAGCTTCAACGGTGAAAAGCGACACGTGTTTGTTTTTGGACACAAGCAACCAGATGACGGAGTGCAGGCTCTCGTTTGGGTTCTGTGTTTTGCCTCGCTGACAACACTCCAGCAATTTCTTGTCAGAGAGGCGCGTGTAAATAGGCCGCAAGGCATCGACATACTCCGGCAGGTTGTAGCGATGATTCGGAGGAGTCTCCTGCTTGGCAACAGCCTTGTTGTACTTGCACCATAACTCTTCACCAGTTGGGCAGTGAGAGTGCTGAGGGCTCACATCAGTAGATGCTACGTGATAAAAGGTTGCCCAGACAGGCCTCAATGCTTCCTTGGTTGCTTTGTAAAGCCCATCCATAATATGACGTGAGCTTTGGGACCAGCTCGCCTGTCAGTTTGCCCTTGCCGCCAAGGCTTGGCTTTTCTTCGGCTCTTAGTTTTTGCAGGAGGTTTCGAAGTGCTGTGCCCATGCGCTTATGCGCATGGTTGACACAGTCTTCTTTTTCTATTGGCACGAAGCCATATACCTGTGCCTCCTGCAGACTGTTGAAGGCCCGGCTGTCTCCATCGCACAACATGGTTGTGTAGCGAAGCCCATGTCTCTCCAATGAGCGGCCAAATAAAATTTGTGCTGCTTCCACCTCCGTTTGTCCTGGCTTACTGGAGGTATTCTTTTGGCAAGTGTGACCAGCTAGCCACTTAGCATACCTTGGGTTGTCCTCCTTCTGCCCTAGCTGGCAGCCCAAACAAAAGTTCGTTAGGACGACGAAGTCGAGCACATAACCCGTGAATAGTTCACTCACGGTCCCTACACAAATATGGGATGAGTGGCCCCTGGTCAGTCAAGTCCCATCAAAGGAAACGGCGATATTTGCAGGATTTCCATAGTTGAGTTCAAAATACACAGTTTTCACGGTGCTCGCGCAGTCATCAATAACGCGCGTGGCAGGGTTCATTTTCAATTTCACATAATCCTGGTATGTCTTGGTGTGCAGGCCTCTCCGTGAAATGTTAAGGGCGGAAAAAATATCGTTGAGCGCAGTTTGCCCGTTTCCTGTGCTCGTTGCCGCGCGAACCACGAGCACGTAAATTTTGAAGGGGCCGTGCGCTGCGTCCCCCCTGCTCTCGGCGAGCTCCATACGGTCCTCAGTGTACCGCACTCGTCACATATGAGAACAAGTTTTGCGGCTATGCCATATTCGCGGTCTTCCTTGGAGATTCTGCCAGGCCCGCCACACACACCGCACTTCATACACTGAAGAAGTTCGTTGACCAACTCTAAGCTAACGACGGTGAACGGCGCACCAGGCGTTGCGGCTCCATCGGAGTCTCGAAAAAAAGACCGCTTGCATTTTGTGGCAAACTTCGATGAAAGATCTTGCAGAACATTGCTCGCACGACACTCGATGGCCACTTTTTCAGCATCGGAAACCAGGGGAGTGTCGACGCGCACAGCTCTCGTGTGATCTTGGGATCGCGTCCGCGATCGCGGATGCCGCGGCGGTGATAGCGCTGGCACAGCCTGCTTTTTCAGAGTTCTCAGCGGCAGAAGGTCTCGCTGGTGATGAGGTGCGGTCTCTCGGACGCCGTTCTCGTCTTTTTCCGAACGCATGAGCACTCCGGAAATTCCGATGACCGCCTGCCATTGCACCGAAGGCAAGGTTCCTTTTGGCATTGCATAAGTCATTTGCCAGACTTTGGGGTGGTTGTTGCCAGACTGCCGCTAAATTTGGCGGAAAAAGTTTCTCCTGTAGTTGTGGCTGCTTCTTAAGAGTTTGGTGCCATCCGCGGTGCATTTTGAGAGTGCATGAGCGACGCTGGCCGTTTTAATTAACGGAATTAACCGAGCCTAGCAGAAGTCGAGCGTGGTGCTGCGGTGAAATTAAGAGGCCGTTTTATTTCTGTTTTAATTAACGGAATGAACTGCGCATTACAGAATTCGTTTTAATTAACGGAATGAACCGAACCTAGCAGAAGTCGAGCGTGGTGCTGCCGTGCAATTAGAAGGCCAATTTAATTAACGGAATGAACTGCACATTACATAATTCGTTTTAATTAATGGAATGAACCGAGCCTAGCAGAAGTCGGGCATGGCGCTCCCGTGCAGTTAGGAGGCCAATTTAACGGAATAAACCGCACCTAGCAGAAGTCGAGTGTGGCGCTGCTGTGCAATTAAGAGGCCATTTTAATTAACGAAATGAACCGCGCCTAGCAGAAGTCGGGGCGCGTTCTCTTGCTGTGTGCGCAGCTGTGCAATTAAGATATCGCGTCTCAGTATTAGGGATGACTGGGAAAACTGAACAGTCGCCTTTTGCTAGGCGCGGTTCATTTCGTTAATTTAATTGGCCTCTTAATTGCGCAGCAGCGCCGCGCTCGACTACTGCTAGGCGCGGTTCATTCCGTTAATTAAAACGGCCAGCGTCGCTCGTTTGCGAAATGCACCACGGATGGCACAAAATTCTCACGGATAAACTACTACAAAAAAAAATTGCAGTCATATTTAGTGGCAGTCTGGCAACACTGACCTTCCCAGTCTGGCAACCACTTATGCAACGCCAAGAGGAACCTTGCCGCACCGAATGGACAGCCGTTGTTAGGCCTCTACGCAAAATGGCGGTTTGCACGCCGCTGTCTAGCAGACGAATCCCTTCGCGTCCAATAGGAAACCGGGAACTGCCCCACGTGACAAAAACGCACCAATGATGTGCGAGTATTCAGTTTTTCTTTATGTGCGATAGCTGCGTTGTTGCTAGACAAAAACGTTCTTCTGCTAGGAACAGATAATAGAAAAATGCGTCTTTAAAATGAGACCAAAATGGCCGCGCTACTTGGTGCGGTTCTCGCGCGCTGGGGCGTTGAATACGACCGTTTTTGAGGTGGTTTCGGAAGCGAAAATGGTCATCAAACTGACTTTGCGACCCAATAACTCGACAAATATGCATTACAGGGCTATAATATTTTAGGAACAGCTTCCTTAGACCTTAATCATTATGAAAAAAAATACTTCAAAATATCGGTTTTTCGGAAAGTTTTCAGCCTCCCATACCCGTGTCTCCCCTTAAGTATGCTCAAGCTTCCTTTAAAGGGGTCCTGCAACACTTTTCCAAGTGATCATCGAATGGCTTCATTAGGAAAAATTTTATAATGTGTCAAGTAAAAAAAAGTTTCAGGGATTTGTCACTCTCCTCGAGCACTTTCTCTTTTGTTTCGTACGAGCGGGTGCGCTGAAAGCTACACAGAGAAGAGAATGACAAAGGGGCAAGAAGATGCATACCTTTGTCAGCGTGCATTATGACCTTGGGTACTTCATTTTGTTTATTTCTTCAGCATACCTTTGTGTAATTGCAAGCGTGCGCAAGGGCACATGGCAGCATTTTGCGGTGGCCACGGTAACTATGCATCTCATGATGTTCAAATCAACTGATGGCTGTGGACTTTGGGTCTGTGGCATCATTTGTCAAGAAAATAGGAAGCAATTTCTAGCAGACTTTCACAAATTATAAATTTCACGGGGCACGCTGTGCTATGTCTGGCTTGCGTGTTCTCAGGAGGCTTGACAACTGATCGGCAGCATTTTTTTAATTATGAAAAATTGTCGCATGGCCCCTTCATGACCTATTTTGCCTTTAATGGTTAAATGTTTATTACTGAGACTACAAGTAAACTGCTATACAAAGAGTTCTGTTTGGAAAGAGACGCAATGCTGTAAGCAGGAAGGTTTAAATTATCTTCGCTGTCATGTGAATGAGACAAGCAATTTAATAATCTTGTATAAACATGTAATCATACAAAATTTAAAGATAACTACACATGCTCAACACTTCCAAAACATTTATATTTGCATTGGATTTTTTTCGTGTGAGCATATAATTTGAACAAGAGTGCTTGAATTGCCTGCTGCTACATTTGACTGAATGCTCTCTTCTCGAATAGAATATCAGATTTTAAAATGGTTGCTTTAAAGCACTAGTTTCTTTTTTCAGTAGGTGTAATATTTATGTACTTTACCAAAACATTTGGTTATTTCTTATTACTTCTTTTAAACAAGTTATTCAATTTGCAACATATTATATAGCTGGTTATACACTTTTACCAACTGCGAGTTCCACTATCTACTTAAATCATGTTGCCAAAATGTCTGCTCTCTCTATTCAGCATTTTCAGCAGACTAAAACAAGTTCTCTTCTGTCTGTGCAGCAAAAGCCTATTCAGCACGCTGGCCTTGACATTTCGTGAGCACGGCATCTCCAGAGGATTGTACCGTGGCATGAGTGTCAATTATCTGCGTGCGATTCCCATGGTGGCTGTGTCATTCTCTACGTACGAGATTGCCAAGCAGTTACTGGGCCTGGACACTGGTCTTGACTCCTGATCATATCTCGCTCTTTTAATAACAATGGTGCACCTAACCGTACCAGCCAGTCATAAGCATCAAAGTAAGTCAGCAGCAAGTTAAGGTGTAGCCATCTTCCTGGTGCTCTTGGCAAGAAGATTCATTTGCCATACGCGAAGCTCTTGCAAAGTACTGAATGTCTGAGCTACAGGAATATGCACACACTAGCACGTTTCTCACTGTTACGAAATGTGACAGTGCTGGTGCACATGTGAAATCTGAGCTCTGAATCTTTAGTGCTCCTAAAGATTTAACAGCTGTGGGCCAAGGCGAGTTTTACTGTGAGCTGCACGCAAAGACTATATAGGTGGTATTGTACTTGCTGCTTTTACATAAAAAAAATCCAAAAAAGAAGTTTGCTTGGAAGTCCTGTATTGGCAATACTCCAGACACCTAATCATTAACCCACCGGCTCTTATATCTGCACAGTTTCTACTCAACCTGGCTGTGATTTAACACATAACCCATCGATTCAGTTAAGGTAGAAGCAGGCACTTCGATAAGAGCTCTCCAACTTCACTAAGATTAATCTATATGTCATGAAATGCATTGAAGCACAAACTATTTCGCTGAGGCAATGTATCTTCATTCATTGCACATTCCCTGGAACAGGCTGTTGAATACAAGCATTCCAGCTTCGACTAACACAACATAATTTCACACTTCAGTCACTTGATCAGTTTTGCTTTACTTTGCAACAATGTGCATCAAGTTGGGAGCCAAGGGCCATGAACCTTCCAGCACAGCTGTGTGAATGCTGAATCGAGTGAACACTATAGGGAATGAGAGCGCATGTGCTTTAGTTGTTTAGATTTGCAAAGCTCTGAAATTAGTACGCAACTTATTGTGCTAGCATGTTTCATGTACTGAAGCACAGCTACTTTTTGAACCAATCAATTTACAAAAAATGTGGACTTCGTGAAAGCTAAGACCTAAAATTATGATAAAGTGGAGTGTATTTCTTGTTCTTGTCAAGTGCATCCTCCCTCATTTTGTAATGACTAATCACATACTGCAACATTGATAGAACAGTGCAATAATTTGAATGGCATCATTTGCCATGATTTAATTAGATAAAGAGGCATAATAATTGTAGAAACATCAACACACAATTTGTAACTGCACTTTTTAAAGGGGCCCTCCAATACTTTTCAAACACCTTTATTTGTGAATTGTGTCTATTTGATACATTATATGAAAAAACAATACTGACAGAGGCATGCAGCCCAAAATTATTCTGTAAAAAATTCAAAGTTGTGCAAGAAAAGCAAACTGCCTTAAATTCAGATTTCACAAGGTCATGTATCCTAGCTCTTCTTGCTCGCTGCATGCATAAAGTAGTGCTGCCACAGGCTGAGTTAGAAGCACTTGCATTGCAGGAGCTAGTGCCCCATAGTTGCCATAGCAATGAACAATGCAGTCTCCCACCATAACAAGAGCAATGAAGTGAAAAACATTCATCCCTTGAATAACATTCACAAGTTCACAGCACATACAAAATGCTGCTGTTCATGAGGGTACCCAAGCGTGTTGAGAAGTCTTTGTGTAAAGACAAACTTCAGGCTTATGGGGAACACTAAATGCACCAAAGTGCAGCTGTGGTGCTGCCAGTGTATCGCAGAACGACATTCCAAATCTTCCCTCTGCACCTCTGTAAAAGATACGGGGAGGGAGACTAGGGACCGGTTTCCCCTTTACTCTCCCTCTCCGTGCCTCTGTTGGTGGTGCAGAAGAAAGAAATTAAATGTCATTCCATGACATACTGGCAGTGCCACATCTGCACCGTGGCACATTTAGACTTTACCACAGGCTAAAAACCAGCTAGCACCAATTGTAGTTGCAGAGCTTTTTTTTATCTGTATTTATTTATAAAACATAGAGCAAATGAAACAAAACTAAATTAACCATGATATTGGGGCTACAAAGCGATTAGGTATAACTTTTGTTTTTCACCGATTAGGGATGAGCACTTGGCTATGTCGCTCCAGTCAATCTTTTCTGGTGAGTGCCACTACATGCCAATGCCATGAGAGTGTTTTCTGATATCAATGTTTTTACCTTTGTCAAAGGCATTGCCCACTATTAGTCTACATTATCAATGAATAGACTGAGTGGAAAGTTTTAGAGGGCTCCTTTATTGGATGGACATTTCACTGCACCCATTTTTAATATAATGCATATTTAGTCATCAAACATATTTTAATGTCAACTTATAGCAAGGCACAATGACTGTAACTAGTGATACTTGACAGTTTGTTTGCCAATGTATGATACAAGTTGCTGAAGTGTTTAATACAGTACTAAACAATAAATATTTTGCAAGAATACGGTTTGCAGAGTTCATTTCCTCTTAAGGAGCCTCAGGTGGTCGAAATTTCCGGACGGAGCCCTACGCTGCGGCGTCTCCCATAATCGTATGGTGCTTTTGGGCCGTTAAACCCCACATATCAATCAGTTGATTTCCTCTTGGTTACCTTGCTGCAGTAGATATTGTACTGAAGTAGCCAGACCACTACACTGAAGTCGGACCGAGAAAATGCATCGCCTAACCACTTTTTTCATACCAGCACCAATGACAGCAAAGAGGTATGATGAAGGTGCCCAAAGGGTAAATCAAGAAACGCAGGTCTGTTCAATTCGCTTGCACCAATCTGAAGCACTCCACGACAGTGCACGAGAAGTGCAGGCCTTGCTTCTGTATGCCTAATGAGTGCTGTCTATGTAGCTTTGAGAGGTGGCAAAGTGCGCATATAGACTATTTACGAGGTGCACATATGGCCCATGTTCTGTAGAAAGTGTATACCTGCATAAGCTGAGCTTTCTGCTCATGTGTATGTGCACAGTTGCTCTGCGCTGATACCACCAGCACAGAGGGTTCAGGAAAATCTAAAATCGGCACTACACCTTTCGAAATGAATGGCATGGTTCAGAGGACACCACTGTTGCACCTCTAAAATAAATGCCAATGGCACCTTGAGAACTGCTGTAGGCGAGTTGAATGACCCTCGTATTTTTATTTGGCTTTTGACTCTTGTGCCGCACTGTCTCCCTTTTATACACATGTGCCGAAACGGCATTCTGCTGCCGAGCACAAAGTTGCTCGTTCAAGGAAATATGCGATTTAAAAAAAAAGTTGTGTGAATCAGTATGCTAAAGCAATAGAATTTTTTGCTGTATGTAATTAGTTTTGAAGCAAGTTGTGCAGTTTTTGTATTGTGCCATGAATATGTGTGAAATATAGTTTGTTTTGGACAAATTTTCTATGGTTTCAAGTCATCAATGGCTCGTATTGCTCCTCATTAACTGTTGAATGTAAATAACGATCAAGAAAGTGCATAAAAGGTACTTCAAGGGACAAGAAAAAGTGTAATGTGAAAATTAGAATTCTCAGCCCATGCTTGCTTTAGCTTTGCAATAGTTATACACGCAATATCAAGTTTTATGAAATACTTGCACCCTTCACATGTTAAGGAATATCTGGGCAAAATTTCAGCCTGATCTGGCTATCTTAAGTACTAAAACCATGTAATCTCAAAAAGTTGCCCAAAAATGGATCTTGAGTAAAACTCATTTTAAGGGCCAATCACCAGGTTTGACAATTTTGAGCTGACAAGCACAATGCGTAGACGAGGCGTTCATGATCACGTCTGCCAAAATTTGCTACGCTACGCGCCGCGGAAATGGGTCAAATTTCAAGATGAACGTTGCTCCCCCTCCCTTCTGCCGGCGTGTGCCCAGACAATGAGGGCATGACGTGCGCGTATGACCCTACGTACATGGCAATGCTGTGACGTTGGTCCTCTACGTAGGCGACTGCTCTGACGTTGCAAACAGTGGCACGTAACATGGCGAAAATTATTTAACACAGCATGCATAGTTTGCAAAGACCACAAAATAACGCTGGTTCACAAAGCAACGCCGCTCACGTGATGGGGGTTGCACTTGTTTGGGCTCGTTATGCGCACTTGACCTCTTAGTCGGATGCCGGAGAGGGTGGGGAAGAGATATGGCTTGCAAAAGCTGTGCGGAGGAGCAGCAAACGTTTCGAGCTCGCCTCCTCTCGTCCCCGTTCCGCACCGCTTCAAAAAACCTGTTTTCTCCGCTCATGATGAACAGATTCAAAAAATTTTTGTGGAAAAATGTTCCTCATCGGACACCCAACAACTTCCACTGTATAACTAAAATTTGATATGGGGCCTGGTGAGCAGCCCTTTAAAGCTATAAGTCAAAGCTCTTCTATGGGGCAAAGATATGATTTTTAAAAAGATGTCTTTCACTATGAAAGCTTTGCAAACAGTTATTTTGAGCATGTAGCTCTAGCAAACTCATGTGAAATGCAATGGCAAGCAGCCAGGTGACAATTTCTAGGGGACTCAAGACATTATTGCACACTTGTATATATTCATGATACCAACTCCTTTCTGTTATGCCCTCTGGCTGAACTCAGTTTTTGGTAGCCACATTGTGCTTTTTAAAAGTGATTTTGACCTACTTCGAGTTTTATTGCAATCTTCAGTTTTTTTTTGTTGGGAAAGTAGAGAAACTAAACTTGTGAAAGCAATGAAAAATGTGTAATTTTGGAAAGAACTCTCATTTGTTGACTTGCATCTCCCCTTAATGCTTAATCACAGTAAACATTTCAACAATAGCACCGTTGTACTTGGGCACTTACAGTAATGACCACCAAATGGCCAAAAAATTACCTGTAGCATTTCTCCTGCTGCTTTCCTTCTATGGCACACATTAAAATTATGGCACAGAACCCACTTCTTTCTCACTGTTAATCTGTCTAGTATCTTCCAGCTCCTGCCCTACAGCTGTATGTCAAACCATTGCACCAAGCAAAAATGTGTTTGCACACCAGTGCCTAATACATAGTTTTATACTTAAACCTAAGATATCCCCGAATAGAAAAGCCCTAAAAAAATTTGTTTCGAACAGGCTGGCTGCTCCATATGAAAGGATAGAATTATTTATATAAATGCATACCAATAGACAGGAAATAACACGCTTGCTACAAACACATGTTGAAATCGTACTGCCTTTGCTTTAATAAAATGTGCAAACAGCAAACATTTCAACAAAGCATCATTTCAAAGAAAAGTTCAATAATACTGGAATGCTCATAACGAGGTTGACATTTATAAAGATTTGTTGTGTACATTTTACGAAATTGTTTTAGACTACTGTCTGGCTAAGAAAAAAATTTCCAGCCCCCCACCCTGATTTGACCAAGCCTCAGGCGAGCACATTCAGGCTACTGCAGGCGAGGACATTCGGGCTACTATAAACCTGTTCGTATCCTACTCCTTGATTCCTTAATCAGATAGGCCCTGACCATTCGTAGTCGTGCCCCAAATTTGGCCACGACTCGGGTTCTTTCGATCACATGCTCTGGCTGTGCCCAGTCCTTAATGCCTCTTCGCCCATCACGAAGGAGCAATGGGGTGCATCTCTGAAGAGCAGCAGTCTTCACACAACTTCAGGCCGTCCAGAGGGCCCACGACATCGCGGCAGTACTTAGACTTCCGATCCCATCGTGGGCGGAGCCACCGACTTGATATGGGGGGGGGAACCTAAATATCTGTCCCTCAGGATCTAAATAAAGTTCTTGTCATGTCATGTGATGTGCAAGTCGCACCAAGCACCTCATAGCCACGAGTGCAATGCTTTAGTTTGGCACAATGAAATGCGAACAGTAATAAGGATGCAATTTATCTGTCATGAGAAGGCTCATAGGCTCGTGTAAGGATGAATAGCCAATGACGCCCTGTTTGGTAGTGGCTTCAGAAAGAATCAAGGATAATGCTCTACTTTAATACGCTTGTTGGAAACCCAGATAACTGGTAGTCATTTCTATTATGTTTGGAGGATTTCTCTTTTATTTGCCATTAATAGCCAAAAATATTGAGCAAATATACAGTTTAAGAGCAAATTAGCATCGAACAGATAATATAGCAAACGGACTGCACACAAGTCAACTTGGAACATAGTGGCATTGTTTCAAGATTAGTTTATATATGCAGTTCTCCTCAAAAAAATTGTCTAGCATCGGAATATCAAACATCCAGTGTTTTTAGATGCACAGCAGTGTTTTTGGAAAGAGCAGTAGTAACGTTTCCCATACCATTTTTGTGCAGCGATTCATTGCACATTACTGTACGCAATGGCGATTCCCAGCTGGTAAAGGTGAGAAATGGAAGCGCACAAGGTCCCTGAAAAAAAAAAGTTTACTTGTTAAAAGTTGATTGTTAGGCCCACTAATGGGTCTAACAGTCATCCTCTGCAAGAAATTAGTAACAAAATTTATAGTGCAATTTTTCTTTGACTTGGAACGTCACGTGTTTTCTGCTGGTGCAGTCTGTGTTGTAATTTTTTCTGTTAGTTCTGCTGCTTAAATCCAAGTTTTCTGTGCGATAATCTAGTAGATAAATTGTGCTAAGGAATGCCTATCTTGGTGTTACGGTGCTACCCATATAATTTAGACCCAAGTGAAACAATGAATCGGTGTAGACTGATCAATTATACTTTGAAAACTTTGCTGTCACTAATTTCACCATCATAAGTTGAATCGATATCGAAGTTTTTAAAAAAAATTTGTGCTGAAATCTTTGCACGTGAAATCGCAGGTTTAAAGGCACTTTTTCATATTTTGGCAACATTGGCACGAAATTTTTTGAAATTTTACATGTTAAGTCTTTGAATGCCTCGGAGAACAATGAATTTTGTTTTTGCCAATTAGAAACTATAAAGGCCCTAGTAGGTGCCTTCAATATCTGTGACCTCATGAAAACAGGTGCAGAAAATTGAAGGTGGTGTCACCACCTGTATTTTCTTTTCGTGCATTTTCTTGCTTACCAGGCATCTTTTTGTGACAAGCACGGTGATGTTGGTACAATGAAAGTAATTTCCTAATGCGAGAAAAAGTGTTCTTCTATTTAGTGGCCCTTGAAAGTACAATGCACTTTCAGCAAACTGAATACAAGAGTGGCTTGCTCACTCTTGTATTCACCGACCCGAGTGGTGGGCGTCGCCAAGTCAAGAATGCACACACACACACACGCGCACACACACACACACACACACACACACACACACACAGACTTGGGATCCATTGATATAACATATAATGTTTGTCTACACAAAAGCAGTGCTATTTTTCTCAAGATGTGCAAACGGAAACAAGCTACTATATACCACGCACAAAAAATTGGCAGATCCCACGTATAATGAGAATCGATGATATGCGAAGAACGAGTGAGAAATGTTGATATGTCACTATAAAATAAGCACAACATTATGAGGTGGACGTAAATGATGCTGTACATGACTTCCGTTTCATGATTATCATGTTTGGATGTGTCGTTTACCTTTGTCATCTATTCATGTCACGCGATACCAAATTTAGTATATGGGGAGCTAGTATATGGGGAGCTAGAGAATGGCTGCGAGCACGCTAAAAGCGTGGTATGTTGTCATGTTCTTGCATGACACGCGTGTCAGGATTATCATGTTTGCACCAGTCATATATTTCGTCATCCATTGACGTCACACAACACCAAATTTGTTATGTGGAGCTAGCAAAACGGCCGCGAGCGCATCATGAAAGGCCCTATATACTCCAATGTAGCATTGACGCGCGTGCACGCTGAGCACAGGGAGGCTACGTTAGCAAAACGCGAGCTCTCTATAGTCTGACGCCAGGCGCGACCAGCGTCCGTCGGCGCGGTCCGACGGCAACCGGCACGAAATGCAACATTTTGTGCCGATGCATTATCTAGACAACACTGCGTCTCCCTCTTTTCATGACGGAGAGACGCTGGACGTGCTGAAACGTGCATGCGTCAAAACAACGCAGCGCGACGAGCGCCTGCGAATACATGGCAGGACCGACGCCTGGCGTGGCAACGCCGGCGTGACGCGACAAAATGAATGCAGGTGAGCTCGCGCACAGCGTCGCGTCGAAATGTATTGCCGCCTTGACTGTGGCATGTAGTCATGTTCCCACATGACACGCATCTCATGATTATCATGTTTGAAACATTCACGTACCTTCGTCATTCATTGGTGCCACGTAATACCAAATTTGGCATATGTGAAGCTAGCAAAACGGCCACGAGTACATCATCAGTGTGGCACGTAGTCATGTTGTTACATGACACGCATGTCGTGATTGTCATGTTTGGATATGTCATTCACCTATGTCGTCCGTTCGTGTCGTGTAATACCAAGTTTGGTACATGTGAAGCTGGCGAAACGGCCGTGGGCGCAACATGAGCGTTGCATGTAGTCATGCAGTTGCATGACACGTATCTCATCTTTATCATGTTTGCACCAGTATCATACATTCGTCATCCATTCGCATTCCATAATACCAAATTTGGTATAAGTGAAGCTAGCGAAACGACAGCCAGCGCATTATGAGCGTGGCATGTAGTTATATTGTTACACGAAACGCATCTCATGATTATCATGTTTGCACCAGTCACATGCACCAGTCACATACCTTCGTCATCCATTCACGTACTGTAATACCACATTTGGTATTACAGTGCGGCCGGGAGCGCATCATGAGCGTGGCATGTAGTCATGTTACATGACACACGTCATGATTTTCATGTTAGGGTCGGTCGCTTGTGTTCGCCATGCAATCATGCCATACCGTACCAGTTTTGTAACATGCCATGTGAACGAAACCACTGCAATAGCTGCAAGACCATGAAATGTAAATCACAAGATTCATGACATACATGTCATAATTTTCATGTTATGACTAGTCAAATATGTTCTTCATACAGGTATGTTATGCCATACCAAGTTTCGTATTGATACCGTTATCGAAACGGCCAGGAGAGCTAAAGTCATAGACAGCTAGATAGATAGATAAATAGAGAAATGGACAGGCAGATAGATAGATAGATAGATAGATAGATGGATGGATAGATAGATAGATACGCTCAAAGTCGCCGAAGTTCGCTAAAAAATGCTTCGTATTTAAAAAAGCTAGTGTAAAAAAAATTGAGCACTGCATCAGAATGGCTTTCTGTGCCTGCCTGTTTTATGTTTGCGAGAGTACGCAGTTTGGTATACCATGCCAAATTTGATCAACAATACATAAAATTTTACAAAACATTTGGGGCCTGTCAAAATTTTTCATTCCCTGTTTTCTTCTATGCAACGCACAAGTTCATTCCCACAGCTGTCCGACAACATGCTCGGAGTTCCTTAAATTTCGCATACTTAAAATGTAGATGCTATTTTAGTCAACCTAGAAAGAATTTAGAGGGGTATTGAAGAACTTGTCCAAACAGCAGGTAAATTCCAAGAAACTTTAGCATTGGAGTATACTGCCTCACAAGTTGACTGCTAGAGGAATTTTGCGAATCCATCAATGAGTGCAGTTACTGGGACGCTTTAAGCACTTTCTCTATTCATTCTACCTGAAAAGCACTCTGGAACCTACATGGGAGGGATGGCAGGAAAACAACAGTAAAGTTGATTGGGCGCATGTCAACAGGCGCACGTCATGACCTTGCGTGCACCTGTTGAAACGCAATCCACTTTCTCATTGCAATACCTACTACACTAATGTGGGTACTGTGGAGCAGACTATGAAATGTGGTGTCAACACGTGGTGGCACCCTGTGGCAAGAAGTGCATTTGATAGGAATGCCGTCCTTTATTTACATTGTTGGCTATCAGCCAATAGTATGCTATCTGCTGTTCGACATCAAACAGGTGACATTGGCAGCTCCAAGGAGAATGAGCACAGGCTTCTGATAAAACCTGACATGCCTGATAAAGCGGTAACTTCATGATGGTCTTCTTAACTCTCTCTCTGCCACATATGACTGCAAGATTAGGCCGAGCTACTCATAGCAGTGTTTCCTTTCTTCAAGATGTTTTTTCATCAAAGTTGCGAAGTTGTTCATGATCTTCTTAAAGAGAGATGCTAATCGAAAAAAAAAAAGTTTTTTCTATCTATAGCCTAGGAAAATGTGTATTTTTTTTACATAGCTTTTTATACTGATTTCAAATATGTAAACAGGTTTACAGTGAACTGCATACTTTTCATTTTGTACCATGACAATGCTTCAAATATAGCTCTTTTCTGCCACTAAAGTTTTATGGTTATGAACCATTAATAAATAATATCGTTCCACATTGACTGTATAATGTAAATAACCGAAAAAAATTGTATATAAGAGATTTCAATGAATAAGAAGAAGAGTAATGTGAGAAGTCTTAAAATGTACAGCCCATGCTGATTGCTTACCTTAGGCCTATAATAACTATGTATGTGACATCCCGTTTGAAAGGAGATAATTACGCTCTTCACATGTTAAGAAATATATGGGGAAGATTTCATCCAAATCTGGTCATCAGAATTGCCAAAAATATGATGTCCAATCTCAAGAAGTTGAGATCCCATAATTGCATCTTGAGAAAAACACATTTGAAACGTAAAATTGAAATCTCATCTATGTAGCAAAGATATGCTTCTTAAAATGATTTCTTTAATTATGAGAGCTTTGGAATTGTGGTAATTTTGAGCATGTTGCTTTGGTGAACTCCTGGTGGGGAACGCAATGGCAAGTAGCCAGGTGACAATTTGCAGGAGACTCTAGACAATCAGCTCTTTATAGTTTATAATACCCTCACTTGACAAGAAAAGTTTGCTAGCTTTTGGAGAATATAAGAACCAAGCTGCACTTTCTCTATCAGTTCCAATTCATCTTCCCAGCCTAGCACTCTGATAGCACCTACATTAATGCTCAGGAACATTATGTTCAGACGGCGCAGACTAAAGAAGTGAAAATCAAGGACGTGATGTATGAAAGCACAAAGGACTTGCATGTGTGTTCATGGGCATTGTTGTGGCCTTCCAATACCTTGAGCATAGTGCTGTCTGACAATTGAAAGTACTCAAAAAAAAGGCCATAATTATTGGAAGATTTGTTGGAAACAGCAGATGCAAGTCACAAGATTAATCGGGTGTATTTTATGACTAAAAATTTTTCAAAAGTGTTCATTGGTAAAACTAATACACCAGGAAATGATAAGCCTTACTTAGCACGTTTTCAATGGGCCTGTTCTTCAGCTAGTGGTGCTGCCACATATTGACAAATTAATATAAAACATTCACATTTTGGAATCATTTCAAGTACTTTACGCAGCCAGAGAGATGAAAAGTTGGTGAACCTGGGTTGTTGCTGGAGCCAATGTTTCGACTAGTAGACTTGTCTTTGAGGCTGCAACTGCCTACCTTAGCACTTATAAGTGCATGTTTCATACCTTCTCCCTAAACCAAACAAATGAAGAGCAAAGGGCAAGTGCTTACATGGGATGGGGAAGAAGGAGGGGCCGGCGTGCTGAATCGAAGAGTCAAATGGAAACAGTAAAATATAAAGTGAGGGGATTCACGTCGAAAGCGTAGAAGGGGAAGTAGGTGTTTCACTGAATTATGGGCTTCAAAAGTGAGTATGACCTTACACAACTGAGTACCACAAGAAGCAGTAATCAGGTGTGTGATTGATGCTTCATGAAAAGCAAGCAGGCCGCTTCTATCTTCTTCCAAAGATTTATAAGGTTTCAAGCTTGAGATGAATTACCTATTCCACAAATTGTAATCATCTGATAGCAACACATCTATTGAGCTATCAAAATTTATGAATCATCATTTATACCAATATACCACTCACTCTTCATCCTTTGATCAAGATGCACCCAATTTCCTTTGAATTATAGATCCTGTTAAAAATGCAAACACTGTCGGATAAAGATATTCTGTTAACATTAGATGTCTGTTATTTGTCAGTCACTGAAAGGACTGAAGCAGTCTCTTAGTCACTAATAGAAAGCAAGCAAACACATCATGCTGAAGTCTACCTCTCATTACCAAAATTAGCCATCATACTTTTTATTCTGAATTTGACTCCTCCTACTACCAACAAATTTCGGTACTAGCATGGGGACAACTTTTGCACCAACGAATGCCAACATTTTATGGGACAGTTGGAATTGAAACTTTTGACATCATCTCCGTTAAAGCCTTCCACTTATCTCCATCATATAGACGATATACAGTAGGATCTTGTTAAATGAAACCTGAAGCGACCAGAAAAATATGTTCCATTTAACAGGAGTTCCATTTACCGAGAGATGAACAGGGTACAGAATACAAGTACAAAACCATTACCAATCTTGTCAAAAGCACTTGCTCCATTTAAGCAGCAGTTCTTTTTTAAAAATGTCTATTTACTTCGAGTCAACTTATTACATATATGCAAACATAGCAGAAGTAAACTTATGTGATGTCATTTACTAATCATTTATTATGCCATTTATTGACCATTGTAACAAGTTTCACCCTCTTATTAAATTTACCATTCACCATTTTTCCACTCAAATGAACTTCCTAGATGCGACGGCACGTACATATTGTAAAAGGAAAATTAAAGGCGACACTCTACAGAAAACCAACAGATAGCCAGCAACACCTAGATTACACTAGTCATCACCCACGATGCTGCAAACAAGTAGGAGTGTGTGAATATTGAATTTTAGAAATGAATATGAATCAAATTGCAATGATGCTGAATCAAATACAAATTGCATACTATTCGAATAGCCTTCACAAATTAAGGCAACCATTTTACAGCCCACCTGTTATGGTTGATGTTTGCCGTGTGAGACAGATGGGAAATTATCATCATCATTAACTAGCACGCACTCAATCACTGCTGCCGGCCCCGCCGCGGTGATCTAGTGGCTAAGGTACTCGGCTGCTGACCCGCAGGTCGCGGGTTCGAATCCTGGCTGCGGCGGCTGCATTTCCGATGGAGGCGGAAATGTTGTAGGCCCGTGTACTCAGATTTGGGTGCACGTTCAAGAACCCCAGGTGATCGAAATTACCGGAGCCCTCCACTACGCCGTCTCTTCGGCCAGGCGAGGCGTAATGAAAGATGGGCAGTGACAATGGCGATTTTGTTCACCACTTGAGCAACCTAAAAAAACATTAGTTGAGAACGATTGTTACAGTGAAGCATGTAAATGAGATAGAAAATCAACACTTGCTAGAAGAGCCCCTGAAGCACAGACTAATCAGCCACTAGCATTAGCAATGAAATACTTAAAAGTGTCCCTAAACATAAACAATGTTCTCTGCAAGTATTACCCAATATTAGTAAGACAAGAGCGTCTAAAAAAAGCACTTCCCAAAGTCGGTCAACTATTGACTTTGGCATAGTTGACTTATGGTTGACTATCACCATAATCAAAACATTTAAGAACATGTTAGTGCATGCAACAGTGAACCCTCATTCTACTGGCCACATCTTGCAAACACCTTTAAGATGATGCTATAGTTGAAGTGCTGGGAGTGATTATGTCTATCACGCACAATATCGTTCTACCTGAACTAGTTAAAATGTTATCTTTGTGATTGAATGCTCATACTGCCACAAACAGCACATTGGCGAAGACGAACTGCCTGTTAATATTAGATTAAACTGGAGTAGCATATATGTGCAAAGAAATTACTGAAAGCAATGGCGGAGCATTTTAATGTGGCAGGCCACAAATTTGGTCATCTCAAAGTTTGCATACTTCAGTCAAACTTTATCCCCCGAGAGACGGAAAATATAGTGCCGTACCTCATTCACAAGTTCAATATGCCCCAGCCAATATGTATAAATGTTTCAGAGTGAGCTTTTGAATTCATCTGATACAATTGATACACAATGAAAACCAGCGAGAATGAAGCCTTTCTTGTATGAACGTTTAACTGATCTTATCACTGTGAAATTTTCATTGTCAAGTGGTACTCACTTTTGACAACCGTAATGCAGTGAAAAAGCTACCTGTCCTTCTATGCTCACGATGCAAATCTCCTGCCAACACCCCTTACTTTCTACTTCTATTTTTTAGTTTTTTTTTCTTTCCTTTCCCCCTCATTCTCATCTGCGTACTACCCCGTTTCTCCTCTTTTAAATGGGTTGGAGTGGAGGACACGACAAATGCATATACATGCGCTAAATGGGCAGTTGCAGCCTTGAAGAAGACAAGTCTGCTTGTCAAAACGCTGGCTCCAGCCCCTGGGTTCACTTCTGCCTTTTTTGCATTTACACAGCCATTCACGAAACACTGAAGGCAATATTCCATACCCATGTGGGCCTGCACAAGTGCTTGATTTAGGGTTCTGTTGCCACGTGGCAAGCAGCCTTGAAATGCAACACTCTTTTTTATCTTGCAAACAATTTTGATCAGCAAGAAAAAGTATGTCGCCATTCGTTTTGCAATACCACAAGCTTACTCTCCACAACCTTGAAGTCAACAAGCACTAGCAGAGACTTTCAAAAGAAAAGGCATTGGTACTTAGATTCCCTACCTGCAAATCCAGTAGGCTCTCAAAATTGAAACTCAAAGAGACCCCAGGAGTTTGAATTATCACACGTTCTCACAAATATGACTCGTCACTCCATACCAACTTGCATTGTAATGGTTATTGTTTCTCAAGGCCGCATCAATTTCACAGACAGCTCTGCATGATTGCCAGTAAAGTTTTAGATTTCAGTGATCAATATGGAACTCGTTATCCAGTGTGTGCATGCTGGCATAATTAAAGTACAAAATGTGCTGCCCCATAACAGCAGGTGCACCTTCACAATCTTAGTATCCTTTGACTACATGACACCAGTGGAATGCGGTGCAAGTGACTTACTTGCAAAGGGTTCGGCAAGCGATTAACACCAGAAGACTATTTTTGAAAAATCCTTCCCCGAGTGTTCATGCAATTTATTGTGGTGTTGTATGGCCAGTTCGGATGCTTTGCAGGCAGGCATTTGGCTTTATATGTGACGATAATATGAACTTGTGTCCAACTGAAAGCAACAAAGGCGGCAGATATTTTCAGGCACAAAAAAAGAAAAAGTATGAATTGACCGAATTAAATGCAACACAGCAGTTTGGATTAAGTGGCCTTAAAATAATTGAAAACATGGAAGGCGAACCGAAAATGTAAGTTTGTCCTTTTTATTAGAGTTTGAATTATCAATACAGTACTGTAAGAGTTTTATAGATAGATAGTGCCCTAATCCTACAGCAAGTTTTGAAAACCAAATGGATACTTTGTGACAAAATTGACTGTGCAGGCAATTATGACTGCACAATGTATTACAATTTTTCATCTCATTGAGTAAAAAAATGCCACAAACCAGTGTTATAAACAGTAACACTTTATTTTCCTGTTCAAAACCAAAACAGTGGCAATATTTCAAAACAAATAATTTGCAACCAACTCATGCTTCTAACTAGTTTTAAAGTACACTGCACTTGCAAAGCTCCTTTCCAAGCAAGCAAACAGGCACTGCATGTTAAGTAATAGATGCTAAAGGTCACTCACTTTCAAGCATGTTGCTTTGCTTACATTGATAGTTTAAGCCAGCAAAAAGTAAAATAGATGAATGCAATAATCACCCATTCTTTTTATTTTCATGTTGCAGAGTTCTCTGTGTGGTGAGGTATGCTGTACGCTATTGGAATCATTGGCTGATGGCACTGGTGGCGCGCTCGTATGGGCTTCACGCAAGCGGTGAAGCACAAGTGAATTTTACAGGTGGGGCACACACAAGACACAGCTGAACTAGAGGGAAAACGTGCATAAGCTGTAGTATGTATAGTCTGGCCAAGTTTGCACAAAGCAACATTTGCTGCCGAAATCACACCGGACTGTGATGGCAATGCAAAAGTTGCTGTAACTTTTAACACATTTGTTAGAAATCAATGCAGCACAAATGACAGGAGAACAGAACAAATACTGGACACAGAGTGTTCACATGAGTAGTTTGCCATTCTTTACACTGTCTTCCCCAGGATAAATTTTATGATGGAAATTGTCTGCTATATTTTGAGTTTTGACTTCGATGTGTGTTACACAGTGCACTAGTCACAGAACTGAGTTGGGGAATTTACACGTTTGTCTAGCTCACAGGGGAGCGTTAAAAGAAACTCGGGCGGTGTTTGATCAAACCTCTTTTCTATTGCCAAGATACATATTTAAATTTGCGACATAATGTGTGTAGATTTCAACACAAAATTTTAAAATGATCCTTCAACCTTGATTTTTCTTTTCTAATAATAAACTTATGGTGAAACTTGCGACATTAAAGTTCTCAGTATAGTTTATCAATATAAACCAAGTCAATGTTTCACTTTAATGTCTCCTTAAAGCATATTTATTACACATCGTGACCATGCCTCTAGTCCAGAATGCTTGACATATCAGTTTGAAGAATATTCTCTACTCTCACCAATAATTAGACAAGTTTTGCGACATAATGTAAGAATATTGCCAGTGTGCACCTCCCAACTTCGGTAGTGCTGCAAGATACTTGTGCGCAAGAGCATAAGGATGAGATGAGCCGCTCGTGTTGGTTTGTTATGGCCAAGGGCAGTCTTTCAAAAAAAAGAAAACAATTATAAAGGAGAGAATTAGCAGAGAAAAAGTAAAAAGCTTTTCATGAGAAGGTGACTTGCTCAATGCATAGACAGCCTTTCACTAGATCAGTGGTGGTCCAGCCCGCTCAGGATACAAAGCATTTTCGACTCCGGATGGAAGCCGTTTTAGAGCACTTTTGAAAGAGATTAAGTGACATACCAGATCGCTTGAAAGTGTGCAACACTAAAAGCATAGCAGCTTGGTGCCGCTTCATATTAACGCACTATCAGAAAATGCTACTCTCCAATAAAGATCAAAATCTAATATTCATAGAGCAACCAATCAAGGTCGTTATCACATAGAACAGTTAATTATCAGTGCAACAGATTTTTATTCAATTAAAAAGGTAAGAGACATTGGTACAATGCCACATGAATCGCTATATAGAACCAAATATGACCGGGTGTAACATATGCAGGAATTTACAACAGTGCTACAACACTGCATTATTAGGCATAAGATATAAAGTGGCAGTGCTTTGTTTTCTTATGAACAGCTCTCCACTTATATAGTGCAGTCAACACAAAATGTGCATTGTATACATTTGCACAAAATTTGGCTTAGCAAACATCAATGGTATTGGTATCATTTATATTTACACTATTTTTCAGCACCATTTGCTGAAAAGTGTGCAGGACTACAGGTCTCATGAATTGCTTTGACAAATTTGTCAGCCTTACATTAAAGGGACACTAAAGGCAACTATTAAGTTGATGTTGATTGCTGAAACAGCGGTCCAGAAACCTCTTAGTGTTACTTTTGTGCCAAGGAATTGCTTATTTTGAAATAAAATCACATTTTAATGGTCTGCATTGTGTTAGTGAACTTCAAGTTACCCGCCTATGTCATGCCACTGCTTCCGTGCACAATGTTGCCCGGCTTTACTGTGCGGCCGCAGGCACTAGTAGCCGCAGAACGAAAATAGCGGGAGCCACAACAGTGACAACAGCCATTGAACAATTTTCTGCCATGGCCTTTGAGGTGGCAGACGTGCTTGGTTCAACTGGGCCCCACTAGATGGCACGACCTGTCCAGTTTAACCAGGCGAAAATTGAACTTTTGAACCACTTTCCCCATCGCAATATTCGGCAGTTATTTTTTCCATGAATCAAACAGAAACGAACAAGCAGCATTTTATTACGTCTCTTGATGCATGGAAGGTTCTTTATTTAGTGCAGCTAGTTCGATTAGTGATTAATTGTAGGTGGTACCTCTCACATCATCGGGATCATTTTGTGAATGTCCTACACGAAGCACATGTGTTCTCATGCATTTACCTTAAAACCTTGATAAGTAGGGCACTTTATTGATAATAATGGCATTTTAGATGTCATACGTTGAGCTTTCACTCTGACGTAAATTGTTATTTGACCTTTAATGTTCCTTTAAGGTATTGCCTGAATACCAGAAGATATTTGCCCAGCTCACTTTCAGCCCATTTCCAAAGATGCAAGTGAATGCCCGACATTTGACATAAAACCTTATAGTGCCTCAAATATACTACTACTAGAGTGCTGGGCACAGGCGTCACTGCAACATCACTGGCAGCGCTCACACACCAAAAAGCATGTGTTTTGTTTGATGGTGTGCAACTAATAGTAGAATAAATAATAAACCTACTCCACAGTATCAAATAATGATTGGCAAGAACTTACAGTACTTGCCATTGGCAAGAACTGCAACCAGTACTTTTGTACCAGTGGTATATGACACCCCCCCTGTAAATATATTTATTTATTTATTTATTGTACCCTCAGGGCCCGAAGGCATTACAGAGGGGAGTGAATACAGAAAAAACATCAAAGCATAAAGGAAAAAAAAAACTACAAAGTGGGCGGTAAAAACTCACATCAAGACAAACAGAGAAGTAGCTGCAGCGGGAGTACAAAAGAACAACTTTGATGAAGAAAAAGATTATACAAGCAGTAACAAACATAAATATATTCGCAAAATAGCAATAGTTTTAGGGCTACCCCACTGCAACGTGTAAGATAAAAAGACACCCCAGAAACCAAACAGCAGCATCGAGAAACAAAATAACAAAACGAAATGGTTTTGAAAAAAAAAAAAGTATGTGGGTAAGAGTGGTTGCGTCGCCAGATGATGTGCTACTTCCGAGTGCTACGAGATATTCGAAAACAGGGGGTGGTGCTGGAGCCGACGTTTTGGAAAGCGGACTTGTCTTTTTCAAGGCTGCAATTTGAAAAAAAAAAAAAAAAAAAGACAGGTCCAAAACTTTGACTCCAGCACCCACCCTCTGTTTTCAAATTTCTCATCGCAAGCTTTCATTTTCCTCTTCTTGCCTCTCTTTTGGATTTCTTTGGGCTATGCTTCATGTGCAAATCAAGTATACTGGTAGGATAGAAATAAATCTGGAGTGTCCCACTAGAGCACGTCATCATGAAGTCACAGTGCTGGCATGTAAGTGACTGAAGTTATGTCAAAATGTATGATCAGTATGCATGTCTTAGCACCCACCTGCCCACTCACCCACAACCTACACACACACGCATGCATGCATGAGAGAGAGAAGGGTTGAACAGCACATCAGCCTTTTCCAAGAGAATCAAAACTACACCTACGGTAACAGCAGTCTAGTAGCGTGTGGGTGCAAAGCTCTCTTTGTCCATTTCAGAGTCAAAACACCAGACCTTGTCATTTGACTACCAACGATGTCATTGGACATCTTCAATCATCTATATTTCACAGGTATCGACCAACAGTTGTAACTTAGACGTTTAGGAGGCACCACTAATACAGCATAAATGGTTGTCCTACACTCCATATTTACAGTAACCCAAACCATGAGCACTCAATTTCTGCAAAACTTCTTTACTGGCATATCACCAATTTTACCCTGCCGCAAGGACACTAGCTCTGTCACCTGCATGGCTCTAGCAAAGTCTCGAGAGGTAGCACTGTCTGGAAGCAGCCACAAACAAATGTCAATTGTGGTGCCATCGCCTCTCACAGGGAATGCCCAGAAGTCAGCACATTAGGAAGCATATATTCTAGGCACCACGACCATCTGTTGTATATGTGTCATAAGGCTTAACAGCTTAAAAATAGAAAACAAAAATTTGTGGCATCTTAAAAAGTGATGCACTTTTAGCAGATTAAAGCCAGTGCCTTTTTTTATAAATTAAGAATGTTCCGAGAAACACATCATGCTAAAATAGGTAGTACCTGTTCAGTGGGTAATGCCCACTGAAACCTGCCAAACTCTGATAAGGTTGTCGGTATAGCCAGCAAACAGTGTTTGGCCATCAGCTGACCAAGCCAGTGATATGCACTGTGGAAGTTCAGTTTTGGCATTTGGTGTCAGCACTTCAGGACACAGCTCATCCACCTGGCTGTTGTCTTCCAAGTTCTGTCAATGGAGCAATCAAAGAAGAACATTGAAAAGGCAGCCAGATTTTTAACTAGAGTACAGCATAATACTTCACATACCTCCACATTTTGATTCCCTAGTAATGATCATTGCCTTGCTGAACTAGCATTCAAGCTATCCACGTGACCATTATGAAGTTGACCATTTCTTGAAATAGCTAGACATGAGGACTTAAGGTCCTAGCGAACACTTGACTAAAGTGCTTTCATAGCGAGTCATGAATTCATTTATTACAAGACACAAACAGGTTACTTCTTTACACGCATCAACAAAGCTGCCATAGTACAAGAACAAAAACTTCTTGCTTAATTTTGGCAGGTACTATTTTTAACAGTTATCAAGCACATATGCTACACTGTACAAGTAACACTTAAAAACTGCAGACCCTGCAGGGTTGGACTTATTTAAATGCAGCAGCCATTTTTGATACCATATTTACTGGTGTATAAAACACGGCTTTTTATAAAACTCTTTGCAGATGCATTTTCCACATACGCATAACCAATATGTGCATTCCTTTCTTGCATGAGTGTCATAAATGCCTCCTAGAAAAAAACTTATTCCCGGGATGTAGGCTTCAAAAGCACTGCCCAACCCTGTCCGTTATCCTCCTATTCACTCGGTAGTCTCTAGAGCCTCTCACGGTGACTTCTTGCTGCATGGGCCCTGGTAAATCAGGGCCCATGCAGCAAGAGCCTCTCACGGTGACTTCTTGCTGCATGGGCCCTGGTAAATCAGATGAAGCGACGTGCAGAAACCAATGGAGGAGTTTATCAAACTGCACTGCGATGAAGCGCACCTCAAATGTGGTAGCGACGCAATGTCGTAAATGAGCTGAAAGTGATGCTACACAAATAAACAGCCATCAACAGAAGTGCAAGAGGCAAAATTCTACAACGCCCATTCTTGAGAAGCATTTTTTTTCCTTGACTTAATACGTTGATGGAAAAAGTGATGTGTTATTGAGCAGTGTGTTCTTATTGTTTAGAAATGCTGCTTTGCTACATGCGCAAATGTTCTTCAAGTCTCGGAAAAAGAGTTGCACGCTTGACTTTCCACGAGATACCTTTGAACAGCATGACCAGTGGCTCAAGGTGATTTCTAGAGATGACTGTGCCAACAAGTAACCTTTGGACAGGAACGCTGCCGCAAAGCTGCTTGAAAGGAAACATCTGTCGCGAAAAGTTGTTTCCCTTTTAAAGTTTTTTCCCGAACATGTACCTAAGGCAAAACCTTACACAGACCAAAGGGTTTTTGCCATACATGCATGGCATTGCCAGTATGTAACGCGTGCCTTTTTCAACAATTTCTTTTGATCGGCATACGCTGGCACACTTCAAGAATACTAGAAATTTTTTTTCATGCGCAGATGTCTCTCATTGTATTTCTTTTTTACTTCCCAAAGAGGCGCACCGGCTATCGTTTACGCATCCGAGCGCATTTGTGGTGTGGCTGATTTAAAGTGCGCGCCTTTTTCAATCACCTCTCTTGTTTGGCATGAGCTGCCACACTTTGAAAATACGTGGAATATTTTTACGCACCATTGTCTCTCTGATTTTGTCTCTGCTGCTTATGCACAAGTTGCGCAGTGGCTTTTGCTTGTGCATCCAAACACACGCACACGGTGTGGCTGGTTTCGGTTTCATCCTTCAGGCGGTTATTGTTCTCGTGCCCGCAGAGCTGATGGCTGCCTGGTTTCTAATTTTTTCCGGGTGACCGCTTGTGACTCTCTTGTTTAGTGCTACCCAAGACGCGATTACATCTGCTTCCATGCTGTGATAAATTACATAAATTACACAAACGATGCTGCTGCGGTTGCGTTTCTTGTTTTAGGGACTCTGGAAATCTAACTCTGTCTCGATGATAAGACAAAAGATCATTATAGCTTTTTCATTAGTTTTGCTTTCTGGATGAATGCACAACTACACAGTTTTCTTCCAAGCGCACACTCGCGCAGACGGCTTGCATTATAGAAGTGCGCGCCGGTTGCAAGTCGAGCGGCGATTCTTCCCATGTGGACTCTTCTCGTGCCGAATCTGAATCTAATTTTAGACTTGAGTTCATCAGCCGAAAATTCACTTACGAGCTCAGACCCAGGTGGTGATGATGAAGGAGGGACATCTCGAAAGCATGCGTGGTGAGATGACTCGAAACGGATCAAAGGTGACTATTCCCCAGTATTTAGTGCCAAAGCAAAGACATTTTTTGGTGGCAAAGTATTCTGGTGTGCTTTTTTTATGTCTGTGAGCTATGTTTATTACAATGCATAATTTTTATTCATAAAAATTGTATACGAATATCTTAAAAAGGATTTTTCTTATAGTTACTATGAATAAATCACGTGTATGTAACAACATAAATGATTCTTTTGAAACTTTACAGTCAGTCATCAAAAAAAAAATTGGACAATATTTTTCTTAAGTAGAATCACCTAAAGAATTTGTTTCAGGAATAAAAAAAGTGCCCATTTTTTTTGTACTGCATTTCGTGAAAAAATTCCAACTCTCAACAGGTTAAGCTCTAGTTGAACTTTCGACAGGGAAATCACTAGCATTTCTTAGACTGGAGCTCCTCCAGCGCTAGCCACTAATGCGCAATAAAACCCCTCCACAAAGCAGCCAGCTCAGCCACTCTGCCAACACAATGATGCCAGCACTGTCGGCATCAGCCTGCGGTACAAGTACTAGCACCACCACACAGCACCCACCCGAAACATGCAGTAGCGTGCCTTTAATATCAATGCTAGCGACACCTCAGGCATAGTTTTTTTCTACGATGTGCTGGCACAGTAAACAGCAAGCCTTTCTTAAATTGAAACATTAAAGCATCGAAATTGACAATAAAAAAAGTTAACTTTTTATAATTAAGCAGTAGCACTCATTGTCTGCTTGGAAAAAAAGAAGAGAGAAAAGGAAAAAAGAAAAACACCACTTTGTTATCGTCACACTTAAGCGCGAGAAGTCTCTGTAGCCCAGCATAATCCAGCAGTAGTTGCAGCTTCTAGCTTACAACTGCTATTTATCTTTGGCATGCATATTACAAGTGTGATGTGCCCATCGCGTCTGCTGATGCTGAGCACGAAATGCTGCAAAGGTAACGCCAGCAACATGCTTTGGGGTGCTTATAATGTCACACACAGGTTATTCAGAAGTAGGCGATAGCAACCCAGCCATGAGAAAAGCTTAAAGGGGCCATGCAACACTTTTCCAAGAACAGCGAAATCTCGACAGAACAAACGAACTTTCAAGGGACCACTAAAAATTATTCATTATTTTTAAAAAGTCATTGTTGTGAAAATATTAAAAATTTCTGCAAATATTATAAATGCAATCACGTGAGTTGTCTACCTCCCAATTGAAACTCCCTCGGACATCCGGATAAAGTCCAAACATCCTAAGCAGATGTCCATGGGACATCCAAAGGATAATAATGTCGGATTAAATTTTTACATCTTTTTGGCTTTTTCCAGCGGATGCCCCGGACATAACAAAGAAAACGTATTGTGCGTGTGTATATTTATATTTATATATATATATATATATATATATATATATATATATATATAAAAAGGGAAACAGGTGTATACTTAAGGGCTCGTTTTTCGTGATGCATTGGATCCTATGGGAGCTGTGCCGGGACCGGCCGAAAACGATGTAAAAGCCAGGAAAACGCAGCACACGGGAATGCAACAGCGGGGTTCTACTGTGTATGTATGTATATGTATATATATATATATATATATATATATATATATATATATATATATATATATATATATATATATATATATACATACACACACGAACACTGCATCCCGCATCATATACATTGTATTTGGTATCTGTTTGATATAAAGTCATCAGTCGCAACATATTCTCGCATGTATATCAACAGTTGTATATTTTTATTTTAGATTATATTAATTTTTTGTGGTGGTTATTACCGCTGTTGTTCATTTGTTTGTTCCGAATTGCGTTTAATGTGTACCTTGAATAGAAGTTTCAAGTTTTGCGCGTTTAAAGTTCCACATTCCTTTATTTTTTTTTTAAATCAAATTGTTATATGCTTTACGTATTTGTGTAGTTTATATGTACATATATTTTACATATTTCAATGTCATAACCGAGCTTTTTTAGTCAGCATTAAGATGCGCAAATGCGGTGTGCGTCTGCACGGCTGTAACCAGTTTACTTGTTTGGACGTGTTACCCGCGGCTCGACCGACGGCCGCCTCTTGAAGGGTTGTGTTTGAGTTTATTTCTCTCGTGAGTGAAGTGTGCTTGCGTTCTGTGTTCTGCAAGTGCTGCTGATTATGAAGATGCGCTACACTCAAGCGAGTACGTGTGGCTTCGTATCGTGGAGCACTCGCCAGGTATGTACCACATTGCTGCTGTCGGGGCTCTGTTACCACCGTGTTCGCCACGTTTTTCATACCATGTGCATGATAAGTGAGCTTTTGTGTACGTGGCGAGCCTGTTTATCTGTATCATTTCATCATAGTAAAGGCAAGGTTGTGCGAACTTAAGCATGGACGAGTTTTTCTTTTGTATGTAGTGTGAAGCAGGGAGCGCATGCACACGCAGCAGGAATTCGGCGGCGGATTTGAGCCGAGTTGGGATGGCGCCCGCCTCTGTCGGCCGTGGTGTTGGAGGGGGGCCCTGCTCACGAGTGACTACTATTTTGTTTAATAATTCTGGGGCGTTTGTTAGCTGTAGGCGTTGATCATGGTTAAGGCACGTAAGCCCGCCATATTTAATGTGCGCTACTGAAGTGAACGTGTGTACGGCAATTTGATACGCTGTGCGTTTTATTTTAAACAGCTACAGTATTGTTATTCGTTATGACTACTATCAGTTAAGTTATTTCCTTGCGAGTGGCTGAATGTATGCCGGTGTGTGCATTTGCTTCGGCACGCGTCTTTATGAACTACCGTGATACTTGAGTTGATGCATGTTCGTGTGCAGCGTGTTGATTGGTGTG